GTGCTTCTAAAGGTTGCTTTTACTGTGGTTTTCCAGAAGGATTAAAACGCTTATATTTTAATATTGCGGCCTAAGAACGTAGTTTTATTACAAAGATAAGGATTTGCCGACATATTTCAGAAATGATTTCCAGCAAGTGATCGCCGCCGCGGCTGGTTCAATTAATTTTTAGTCGAGAAACCCAATTTTCGAGCACTTTTTGCAGCAATTGACTCCCTAAATCAGCAATAAAATGCGCTGAATATTCTCTTTCAAAGCGTCAATAATATCGGGATTATTCGCGTAGTTAAGGGGTAAAGCCACTCTAGGATTTGTACACTTCAAGCTCTAGAGTGGCTCACGATTTCGCAAGCCACTAACCAGGCCCACGACATGAGATAATGCGCTCATGACAAATTTCCTTCAATAAAACGATTGCTTCGTGGTTTGCTAGGTTCCGTTACGGTAATTTCGATGTCAAACCACGCCTGTCGTCGGAAATTGCAATAAAATCATGGAAATAGTGGAAACAGACCGTCACGTGAGCACTTATTTAATTGCTGAGGAACTAAAGATAAGCCAGAAAACCTTTTGGAACCATTTGCATAACCTTGGATTCAAAAAGAAGCTCGATGTTTGGGTGCTGAATCGCAACAAAATCGATCCGTTTCTGAAGCGGATTGTGACTGGCGATGAATAATGGGTCAATTACGACAACATCGAGCACAAACGGTCCTGGTCAAAGATCGGGAAAGCGGCCCAGACGGTGTCCAAGACCGGATCGACGGCCAGGAAGGTTTTGCTGTGTGTTTGGTAGGATTGGCAAGGAATCATCTACTACAAGCTGCTCCGCTATGGCCAGCCGCTTGAATGCAGAAGGCAGCACTTATCCAGAAGATGGCATCTTTGATCAACAGAGGCATAATTGTGTTCCATCAGGACAACGCCAGGCCACACACGTCTTTGGTGACGCGCCAGAAGCTCCAGGAGCTCGGCTGGGAGGTCCTAATGCACCCACCTGTGATTACTATCTTTTCCTGTCCATGGCGAACGCACTTAATGGTGACCCTCCAACCCTCAAGAGAGGCCTGTGAAAATTGGCTCTCCGAGTTTTTTGCCAATAGGGACGCAGCCTTCTACGAGAGGGGTGTAATGAAGTTAGCATCTCGGTGGCAAATATTATGGTCGATTTCATTTTTGAAGAAATATAAAGCAATGATCTCCTCTGCCCATAGAGCACACCAAACAGTGACTTTTCGAAGATAATAAGGCGTCTCAACAATGGATTATCATCCCTCCAAATGAGCTTCATTGTTGAACATAACTTTCTTATGAAAATCAGGATGGGCGGCCATTTAGTTTTGAGCTCATTCACCGAGCGTGCGACGCATTTCATGGTCTTTCATATTTAATTCTTGCACGAGGTGAATTTTATAAGCGCGGAAACCAAGATCCATTCGCGAAATCTGCCATATAGTTCTAATTGTTGCGAGTGATGGCGAATGAACTCATTCAGCACTTCTGCGATACTCTGCCCCACAGCAACAATAGCGTCTTAGGTGCACACTGTACGGCGTCTCTGAGGATGAGCATTATCCACTAGAGCAAATGTAGTGCGAAACCGATCAATGATTTTTCGAATCACCCACTCTGGTGGGCAGTTATTTCGACCGAATATAATATTAGATTCACCCAATCAATTTTATGGTGATAAATTTGCACGATTGGCAAACGTTATTCCGGAGGAAGTCGGTTATTTATGAAATGGCAAGCCGTACTGAGTAGAAATCACTGCCACTTGTCACTTGTCAAAAAGGTCAACTCCGAAAAAGTTTTGCCTCAATAAAAATCACTCGTCGATAAACACCCTATACACCCTATATAAAAATATTAATAAATTAAAAAAAAATATATATATATAATAATAATAAGGTATTGTGGAGAAAATCTGTATTAAATAAATAAAAAAGCAAAAACTGGTGAAATGAAGGAAAATTATTATTAATTTTGAATGCAGAAAAAAAAAACAAAAAACTATTAAGCCGAGGGTGGTGCCAACAGCAAAAGGGTAGTAATCGCTAAAGGAAAGCTGCCAACTGCAGTTGGGTGGAAGTACAACAACAAGGTATGTATGTTGTTGCACTCATTATGAATTTCTCAACAAAAGGTCATGAAATGTGCTTATGTTTGTATGTATATATGTATGGTATATGTATGTAATATTGACTTTGAACTCCAACTGTTTTTTTATTCAAAAAAATGCATTCAAGCATAAAGAATTCGCTTAGAAAGTTATCCAAATCAACGCACACACCACCGCGCAGTCAATTACATAAATACATATACGTGTATGTACACAATATGTACCATTTTGAAGGCCAGCGATGTTCGGAGGGGGAAATATTATGCGAAACACCTAAGGCTACAAGGAGATGACAAATGCAAAGATATTCAAATTATATTCGATTTCTTTGTGAACTATAAATAAGTACATTTTTGTATGTACGTATGTACATGCGCACACTGAAGAACCTCGAAATATTGTACTTCGATTTTTACTATTTTCCAAAAATCATTTATAATTTCAACTTCAATTAAATCCTTTGTGGAGTCTTCTGAAAGTTATTATTATTATTTTTTTTTTTGAATTTTAATGTCGCTTCCATTGGCAGAAGTGGCTGTAGTAGACGAAGAGATGATGCGTCACGAACTAGCATAAATAGTGAGATATCAAGGTTCTAGTCTTGCCCTTGGGTATATAGTTACAGCCGTAGGGCTATATTCTATTGGTACTTTGGCGTCCACCTCCCGCACATGGGAAATGTGAGCAACTCATGTGCAATATGCGCTTACCAGCATGGGAGTAGCCTTGAGTCACGGCTAAAGGGGAAGTTCAGTAGAACCACTCCGACTTATTAGATTTAAGAGTTCAATAAAGTCTAACTAACAGCATTATTTCATGAGAAGGTGCGGTTAGAGCGGGCGTCGATCTGAAAGCAAGCACCTAATACCAACTAACGCCCTTACTCAGGGAGATTGTGTGCTGGCTGAGCTTGCGAACCGCCACGTTAAATACAGCTTCAATTAAATATAATCAAAAGCGTACTTCCAATCTGCGATCCGGCTATGACACGCATTCAGAAGAAGAAGAAACCAAGAGCCCATTTTTTAAGTTCAGAGCCACATTGCTAAGGTTTTATTAATTTTTGAGAATCTACTTCGCATTCTGTACTCGGCATAATATATGGAATAATTTCATATTAGGTAAGTTCGGCTCGCGTGCTTTTGCTATCCGATCTTTTTTTTTGAGCCACAATTAAGCAGCCTTAGGAAATGCACAACGTCCAATGGGTTGATTGACATACATACCTTCTACCGTTAATTTCTGGTTAATCTCATTTGTTGTTGTTGTAGCTGTAGAGATTCGCTGGCGCCAGATAAAGCTATACTCATCATGGAAGTTATCGATGGAAACCCCATTCATCGAGCTCTTTCGCGGCCTCGCGACCAATGATAGAGAACATATACCTCAGTCGGTTTAAGGGGACAAGTAAAGAGTTTTTTGAAATATTTGAACGTTGGACATACGTTGAGCATATAGATCGGGATCGAGTCTGGATAGGTAAGAGTTTAGCTTGCTACGATATGCAGATCTTAACTGAATGACTGTGATTTCAGCCAAAATATCAGCCAACTGTGCAAGATGAATTGATTTCTCCATCGATCAAACGAAATTCGCATAGGCATATTCCTAATAAAAGCCTACACTGAGCATATGAAAAAGGGAAGGAGTTAATTTTTTAGACGTGTTGTATTTAATGAGGCAATACTTTTATGGTTTGGGGAAGAATTTCATTACCAAAATAATGGTTCGGCTCAAGCGATGCATCTCCAATATCCAGTCGACATAATTGCCAAGTAGAGTCGGTAATGCGAGCAACCGAGGTAACAGAGTGGTTAACATTGCTGTTGTACTGACATTCGGAAGGCTCGGGCTCAAATTCCGGTGCCTCCAACGTCCAAAAGTTATGGAAAATTAATTTAAATAAAAAATTAAGTTAAATTTACTCACTGCGGTCGCCCCGCCGAATATATTTCGGACATGAAATGAAAGGTTCTCGTAAAAAACCAGCCGTTCGGAGCCGGATTAGTATAAATTCCTCCATTTTTTGGTAAAACAACAAGACGCAAAACCACAAATTGGAGGAGGAGCTTGGCCGAAAATCGCTTCAGCAGTTACAAAGCGCATAGTAGATAGAACGCAACCTCAAAGACGATGTACAGTGCGCACCAAAGACGGTTTTTCATGCTGTGAAGCAAAGTAGTAGACTCGAATGAGCTGGTCTCATCCACATTATGGAAAATTTGGCGGAAGGATCTTGAACGACCATCAAGCGGATGGCATGTTCGGTGAATAGGGGCCAAAACGAAATGGCTGGCTATCGATACCGATTTTTACAAGAAAATTTCTTTCAGGGATTTTTTTCGTGGCAAAATTCGAGGATTTTGCTGTAGATGAACCGGGAGTTCCAACATGACGGCGCTACATGCCCTAGATTCAAGGAAACAATGAACTTATTAAGGGATAGTTTTAGTGAGCACATTAATCCGCATCGTGGGAATGTGGTGTGCCTTCAAGATCGTGCGATTTAACGCCGCTGGCTTATTTTCTGTGTGGGATTTACGGAGCCAATTGCTGCAAAAAGTGTTCGGAGATTCGGTCTCCAGGCTGGAATTTATTCGAGCTAGGGCAGCCGTGGCGTGAAATCATTTTTAAAACATCGAGTCGAAGTGCAACTCTGCCCAGTTTAGTCTAGACGGCATGGTTTTAATGTAGGAATTATAAATAATAAAGTTTAAATGATAATTTCGCTGTTTAAAAATTACCACGAACCATAAGCAAGTTTCTAATCGGCTTAGCCTTGTATTTATATGTAGAAGAGACATTTTTTTATCATATTTTTGTAAATATTTCGGTTAGTGAATTCAAAATCAAAAGTGAGCAAATTTTTGTGTGTGAAATGAAACTTTCAATTAAAACGTTAGATCAACGGAACTTTTCGATCGACTCCTATGGTTTGAAAACAGTTTTGCATTTAAAGCGAAAGCTCTTCAATGTCGGCGTGACAAATCTACTGCCCGAGCGACAGCAACTCATGTATGCGGGACGTGTGCTGAATGACAGCAAATTGCTTTCGTTTTACTCCATCGACGAGCGTAAGTTTCTCTTGGTGATGGCGAAAAAGGCCTGGAGGACGCCAATTGCAGAAGAGCCCACCGTGCAAGCCAACAATAATACCAACAATAAAAGTAAAGCAACACAACAAATAAAGCCACCGAATGCAGGACAGGGTGATGAGGTGGATATGAACGGCAAACAACAAGCCAAAACGAAGCAGAGAACACGAAGCGGAAATCCTTTAAAAGCGAAAAAGTCAACAAGATTTAAGGCCTGCAAACCCATGACAAACAAAGGGAGTGCCGTGAAGATCGCGCGTCAAATCACCGCGTCTCCTAAGATAACATCAGCGCCTGCAGTCGGTGATTGCAAGGAGCACCGAGCCTCAGTGAGCTCTATAGAGTCGGCGGATTCACAGCAACGACGACGACAAGAGCTCAAAAAAGAGCGTAGATCAATTATTAAATATAAGCCCGTCAAATCAAAGGCATCACTCTTGAGCACCGCTAAATTATATGCGACCAAAAAGGCGAGCAACATGCGCACAATCAGAAGAAGAAAAACAAAGAAGCCACCACAAGTGCAAGTGTGCGACAAGTTCGTACTACGCCAAATTGTTGCAATGGGCTATAATGAGGATGATGTGCGACGCGCTCTAATCGCCAGCTTCAACAATCCCAACGAAGCTGTCGATTACCTCGTTAAACAAGTACAAGAGCGTATGGCACAACAACCCAAAGGAAAATCAAATCAAAAGAAGACACAAAACAACAAACAGAAGAATTGCAAATTAGTGGCAGGAGCGAGCTCTAATGAAAGAAATAGCTTGGCTTTCCTACGAAATGATCCAGATTTTAGAAATCTACGACGTCTCTTGCGCAGACGTCCGAATATATTGCAGGACGTAATCAAACGTGTCGATACATCACATCCCGAGTTGCTGCAAATGCTGAAGGAACATGAAAGCGAATTCTTGCAATTGTTGCACGAAAACGCGGAGAACTCGGCTGATGATGAGGAGCAATGCGAAAATTGTAATTTCAACTCAATGCAGATCTCACCGGAGGAGGAGAAGGTGATAGCGCGTCTGGTGCAAATGGGTTTCAAGCGTCAGATGGTCGTCTTAGCGTTCATCGCTTGCGATCGTGATGTCGAGAAGACTGTGGACTATCTCTGTCGCATCGATGATATCCACATTTAAGCGTATGAAAGCTTTCTGAGATATATTCTTTCAGCGAAGGTGGTGGAAAATTAGTCATCTTTATTTTTATTTTTAATAAAACTGAAAAAGAAAATCAATTTGCCCAACAAAAATAAAAAAAAATGTGAAATGTCAAAATAGGCTTAAGTGTATGCATGGTTGGGGTTACCAAGAAAATTTGATTTTTAGCCTACGGCTCCTTGTAGTTTCTGCAACACGGCTAAGGCTATTCATGAAAGTGACACCAAAATGTTGAGGACTACTTCTGCATAAGAGTTGGAAAATCGGATCTTTCATCTCACCACGCCTGCAGCTCCTCTAGCATCTACTGAAAGGGGTTTCTAACCTTTCGATAAGACAATGTCCCGTTCCAATTATCTTTGGGATTTCTTCCTTTTTCGAAATGGAGGATCGACTGCCCTCTGTATCTGTGACCAGAAACCCCCAAACCAGAAATAGAATATTATGCTCAGCGATCTCGTTATGAGATCTTTGACAGTCCAGTACGATTTTAGTCTTTGTCGTGATCGAGCCCAGAGTATTTATTGCGACCGGATTTTCAAAGAAGAAAAAGGAAAAGATTACCGGTCGCCAAACTACTAAGCCATATACGATTATTGATCTTACTGTGGGCACGAAAATTCAGCGACGGATTGCGCGACTTAAGTATTATTTTTTACCTCTTTTACAGGCAAAAAGAGTGGTGCAGGCCTTCATATACTATACCCGTATATCTGAACCTCATGCTGTTTCTAGCTGAGTTTCTTGTCTAGCATCCGAAAAACTTCACTTTAACCCTCAAGTTTAGACGAAATCTACTTGCAGGGGTCTCTCATTGAACAAAACCAGTTTGTGCAGTGGAATTTTCGTCCAATTATGAACACGTGAGCCGGTTTCTTTCAAGACTGCTCTGGAATAATGATGTAACTCAAGTTTAGCAATTAACGACTGATTATTTCACAGAAAAGTAGTCTAGGAGAGTTGCTGGGTAGAACTGCGTTGGGGGTTGTTTTTTGTAGGGTTTTGTGTTTAGTGGTCGTCCAATAAATTTTTTCCCCTCATCTGTCTGATAGGCAGTGCCTCAACCAAACTTGTGCATACTCTGGACAGAGTTGCCTCCGAGCGACTGACGGATTTTTATAAGCCATTATTGAAAGGTGATGCAGACTTGGTGGTATTGAGATTCCCTGCCGCGGGACGATCCAACTGTGGTTGGCTGATAACTACGGTTCGGAGCTGGAGTTGACCGAGTATATACGATAATTATATATACTAAATTCCGTTATATTCACTATATAACCATTTTTAAATAGTCCTCAGCTACTGATTTTACTACCCTGCGAGTTAAGGGCTCAAGAATTTATCCGTGGTAAGGCATACCTGTCGTAAGAGACGTAAAATCCAATAGGTCCTGCGACAGTCGGGTTTTTATACCGGAGAGACCGGGATTTCTATCCCGCAAAAGACCGTCACTCCCTCAAACCTATTCGGGGAATATTTTGCGGCGACAACAACAACTTATTTTACTTTTTGAACATTTTTGGATGAAATTAAAAATATTTTTTTATGAGGAACAATTTTTTGCCACTTACCTTATAGCTCATTTGTACATTCGGCGAGTTTGACATCGCTGGCATTTGCATTGATGACGCATTTACTGACGCTGCTGCTGCTGCTGCTGCTGCCGCCGCTATCGATGGTGGTGGCGCTCCTGCTGTTGTGCCTCCCGGTGTTGTTGTTTTCTCGTTATTTTGTTGTTTGGCTGTTGTTGCTTTATTTTTTCTTTTCGTATATGTCCGTTTAGTGCGTTTGTAACGTCTTGGCCGACAATTGAGAAACTCAATTTCATGTTCGTTCACCGCCTGTGGCGGGGGTACGGGTGCCGATACAGGCCCATAACCCATGTAATCGAATGTATTAACATTTGGCATGACATTGCCGAGATTTGGTGGCGGTAATTCCAATTGTGGATATTGTGGCTGGTACTGTTGGGTTTGTTGCATAGTTTCATAGATAATCGTGCTCGCATCGAAGGGTGCGGGTGGTGTTACAGTTGTAACTCCAGCACTGACATTAGAGTTCTTAAATCGGCCGGTCATTGCATTTAAATACTCTGGCATTTTGTTTCAGTTTTTTTTTTAATAATTTACAGATAGTTTAGGAGAGTTGAATTTCGGGTATTTTAAACTTTCGGATTTTTGCTGTTAAGCTGTAATTGAATTCAAAAAAATATTTTGAACTAAGTCTTGCTATTTAATGCAATTAAATAAATCGAAAATCGCTTCAACGGTTATAAGCATATATGTATATAGAAAATAAAAAAAATTGGTAGTTTGTTTTTATTTATTTATTTTATGTTTAATCTGCTTAGAAATAAAAATGGAATCCAAGTCAAGCGAAAAATATCTAAGCTTCCAATATTTTCACCCACCCTTCTTGTAACTGTGTGTGTAAGAAAACTACATATTTTTCTTTGAAGCCCATTAAATGCATTTTTATTTAATCATTCGTATTATATTTATATTAATCACGGTATTCGCCTATTAATGTGTTTTATGATGTTTCATTTGTTTAATTTATATATTGTAATTATCAGATAATTTGTGATAAATAAATAATTGAATCTATTGTAAGCCTGTCTTATAGTAATCACGAGTGTAGCCAAGAACATTTTAATTGCGTAAGCGCTTTTTTATTTCATTTCCCAATTCGGTCAGTGGCACCTCATCCTCTTTCCGCGTTTTCACTTCACGTAACTTCACAATACCCTTTGTCAGCTCCGAATCACCAAAGACCACGGCGAAAGGTATTTGATTCTCTTCACAATATTGTAGTTGAACCAACAATTTGGGGTTGAGTTTGTAAGAGTGTTCAGCCTAACGAGAATAGATGTAAAAGAAAAATCAGTAATTGGCATATTAAGTTATGGATTAAAGTGCTCACCTTAATGCCTTGATCCCACAGACTGTTCAAAATACTCAAGCGCTTCTCGTGCAAACCTTTGTGAGCAGAAGCTACATAAACCTCGACATCGTTAGTGCGTGTCTTAATACCAGCTGCAACGTTTTTAGCTTCCAATACGGAAAAAATACGTTCCACGCCAATAGAGACACCAACACAAGGCACCTGTTTGCCTTTGGGATCGAACATGCCGACAAGGTTGTCATAACGACCACCGCCGGCCACTGAACCAACAGCGCCTTGCTCTTCCACTGCATCAGCACCATTCTGGACAATCTTCGGCTCGGCTTTTAGCACACATTCATAAATAACACCGGTGTAATAGTCGAGACCGCGTGCTAAACTCAAATCGAAGCTAATCTTTGGCGATAAACCCATTGCATCGCAATACTTGAGCAGTAACTGCATATTCTCTAAACCTTTCACAGCGCTAGGTACGGCTTTCAGCTTTTCATCAGCTAATAATTGGGAAACAAGCTCAATACCGCCATTAAGTCGTACATATTCACCAATCTTATCAGCAGCACTGGCATCTAACCCCTTCTCTTCGATCATTTCCTTACGCACATCGTTCCAGGGTGACTAATTGTGAAATAACATAACACAATATTAATAAAAATATATATTTCTACATTTTGTGTTATTCACCTTGTCCAGCTTATCAACAGCCGAGCAAATGGTGCGGAACTTATCAGCTGGCACGCCACAAGCCTCAAACATACCGTCCAGCAATTGCCTGTGATTGATTTTAATCACATATTCGCCAATATCTAACGTATCCAACACCTCAGAAACAATTTTGACGCATTCAGCGTCAGGCAGCATGGGATCAAAGGTGCCGGCAATATCAAAATCGCATTGGTAGAATTCACGATAACGACCACGTGTCATCGCGGGATTATCACGGCGATACACTTTGGCTATGTGGTACCGTTTTAATGTAGAAATCTTACTCATGGCCAGATAACGTGCTAACGGAACGGTTAAGTCATAGCGCAACGACAAAATTTCACCACCTTGATCTTTGAGATCGTATATAAGTTTTGAATCTTCGCCATATTTGCCAGTGAGCACCTCCTAAAACGTTAGAATAATTAAAGAAATATTTTAAAACTAATTTCAAGCCTATTTCAAGCACTCCTACGCACCTTCAACTCAAACACAGGCGTATCAATGGCCTCACCGCCGTGCTTCTTGAAAACAGCGATAATCTTATCCAAAACCCCCTGCCGCAGCATCATCTGCTGTGGTGAGTAGTCACGTGTACCTTTTGGCGTTTTCAGCGTAAACTTTTGTGGTGTCGCCGGCCCATCGCCGAGTTTAGCCTTCAAGGCCAACAAATGTGCGACCTCTTCATCGATCTGTAAGTGGAGTAGAATTTACAAAAATTTTAGTTTAGCACATCAAGAATAAATGATTTTAAAAGCATTTACTAAAGCTAACCTGTGCCAGTTGTTGTGCTAGCAGAGTGGCCTCACCCTCAGTCTCATTATTGCTGTTGATTGTGTTTGTGTAATTTTTCTTTTTTCTATGTGAATTTTCATTAGTCGAAGCACTTTCGCATTGCCCCACCTTATGGCTGGTGGCGCAGTGACGGCACGGTTGTTGAACAGCGGACCCGAATTTATGTTCGTCGCGGCTAGAATTTTTACACACAATTGCAGACCAATTTGTGGGTATTGACCGACATTTTGTTTGACCAATAAAATATGCAGTTTGACGGCCAATCGAACGCAACATTTTTTCTTCCTCTTTTATGCTAATTTATTGACGATTCTATACTTTTTGTTAACTTATTTAGATTTTTTAGCTTTGTTTAATTTTACTCAATATCAGCATAATTAAACCTTTATTGAGATTTATTTTCTTTCGTTTTTGAAATCAATCAAGTTAACGCGCCGATTTCTTTAAACCTAAACAACAACAATAATGAAACTGATTAGAAATTGTCACCGAGTGATAGAAAAAAAAACAACAAACATATTCTATGTGAGTTTCGCAACTTACGAAGCTAAATGTTAAATTTGTTAATAATTATGACGCGCACAAACAACAACAGAGAATTTAAGTAAATATAGATGTTAAATAAAAAGGAAATGAATTATTTAATGAAGAATGAAATGAAATATTACTATGTGCGTGTAGTTAATGAACGAAAGGAAAGAGGAAAGTGATGTGTGTTGTGATCAGAATGTAGATACAAATGTATAATATATGTATATAAGATTAAAAAACAAATGGGAAGCATTAATTTTGAATTTTAGTACATGATTTTAAGTATTTTAGGAAAGAAAACGGTGCGCCTTAAACCAGCTAAAAAAGTCAAATGCGTTTCTAAGCGTTTTTTCTTTTTATTTTGGAAAATGATTTCTTGTGCTTTTCTTTAATAAAATGAGCATGAACCGGTGTAAACTGCATATGAGTGATGAAATTATGAATGCATTGGATGTTCTTATTTTACAATTTACTAAGGGCTACGAAGGAAAACCAAATGGCATTTAAAAAGTATTTTGTTGATTTTTTTTTTTTTTGTAAATATTGCATTCCATCGGCCACAAATTGCTACGTTGGAACACTTTGATAAATTGATTATGTACATTTATTACGCTACATCTATGTAGTTTATAGTTATATATCTTAATTTATATACAAAATACATTATATGGGAAGCACATAAAAATAAGCATAATTGTTTTTTTTTTTTTTGAGTTATTAACTTTCAAGGTTGTAACTAAAGAAATGAACTAGTTTATGAAGGACAGATGCACATACATATGTACATACATATACATAAACGTAATAATATACAAACATATTTCTGCATGTACCTGCAATATTTCGTTTTATAATAAAGCATTTACCAATTGAACAGCTTTCAAAAGATAATTTTTGTGGCTTGAAGTGCACAAGCGTATTTCATGAAAAATGTACATACATACAAATCTATATAAGAAGATTTTTTTAGTAGGAAAAAACATCACGAATTTATATATATACATATATATTTTTTAATATACTTCTGTGGTCATTAAGCGGAGCTCAGTATATCTCTAAAGCTCTTATTTTATGCTTGGCTGATATTAAAACCCATAATATTTACGTCACCTGCACATTCAAGTTCAAAAAAAGCATTAGAGTAGCAGATGCAGTTACTAAAGCCAGTTTCAAGAACTGAAGAAACCAGATTATGGCGTCAAGCGACAAGCCTCCAAAAGTAAGTACAAACGTTACCGTTAAATATATATTTATTTGTTGATCAACATGTATTTATATATGTAAATACATACATATGTACACAAGTGAGCACAACATGCATTTACATCTCGACGTTTACATTTCGACTCCTTTTTTAGTTTTTTTTCGTTTTTTTTTTTTTTTTGGCTACACTTAAAGAGGCCAACTCTATTTTGAACCAGTTATATGGAACATTAGAAACCGGTCCATGACACGAGCATCTAACTATAAGCAAGTGTAGAGCAATAACAACAATAGTCATTACTTTTTGTACTCGTTGGCAAATCTGATTTGAAAGTGAATGTTTGACGAAAATCTGCCAGCATAACACGGTCTTCATTTGGACATTTCTTACCATTTTTGCAGGCAGCTAGTCAAACGGTCTGCTCAACTGCAACTCAGTACACAGCAAACCCCACCACAATACCCCTTATGCCATATATTATTAATTACGGTAGACGCGATTCATTGCTGCAACAGCAATGAATCACCTTAAGACATTAGACACACTGTCAAAAGCTCAACAACAACGCGACAAACTTTTTTCTATGGGGTAACAGACCTTCGAATAATCTGATGAAATCTTTAGCTAATTAAAGTATACTTATACTTATTCATAGTTACATATTATAAATGTTAATTACATACACTTACATTGACACGAATATTTTACATTTACATATAATAAACTAAAAAATAATAGATGTTTAGTAAACTTATGCTACTTATGGGTAAATATCTAGGGGAGACAGCTGTAGTTACAGTCCAAACTCACCCTTTCCTTGGTTTCCTTGGCTGCTTTAAGTTTTCTAACTAAATCGCCTTGAATTTTAATTTCTTCGAGTATCTGTTCACGCGTCTCACTCATTCTAGTCCACAAAAATCTGACTTATTTTCTTTTCTAATTCACAACTTTTATATGTATGTTTTCTTTCTTTTTTGGGAGAATGCTTCAGTCCCTTGTCTTAACCACTTCAAGAAAACTGTTTTCACTGAAAATTTGCACGCACTTTGCACACTACTCTAGGTATTGATGTAATAAATGTTTATTTATATTATTTCATTCAATATCACACAATTTTTTCGAAATTAAATAGGAAAAGTATTCGCAAGCATAAAACGCACACGCGGTGGAAAATCTGAATGCAAGTTTAACGAATATGCTGATGTGGGGTGCTAGGCAATTATTTGACGGTTCATTTTGTGCCATTTCGTTTTTTGTCATCGGACATTCGTTAGAGTTGCCAGACTGTGGAATTAAAAATTAAAGAAACAATTTGTATGCGCGGTTATTCGGTACGTCTTGATGCTAAGTATTCGTTAAGACTTGATTCCTTATATTAAGAGATTTGAATTTCAACATTCATTCTTGTAATTCTTTACAGCTATAAAAGTAGCAGAAGCATTCAACCAGCGAAAAAATATCAAATACGGCAAGCAATTCCTATTGGTATGTTACCGTTTGCAACATCTAAATAGGCATCTTCTAGAAGCTGAACCTACACCTAAGCACATCAGAAAGATAGTACTAGACATGAAGGACACCATCCAGCAACATGTTCAACAACTCGGGGAAAAACCACCACCTATAACAGACAACGAGCTCGAGCTGCCTCGAGAGACTCGCGTGACCCTGACACAACTTAGGTCTGGATATTGTAGCAGGTTAAACTCCTTCTTATCCAGACTAGACCCCAGCATACCCTACGTATGCCCTTCCTATGGTCCAACCCCGCCGAAACAGCTCGTTTCCTGGACCTCCCACTAGATGACCTCGGCGACTTAGACTGATCGAACCGGTGCCTAACAGGGGATAGCGAACCGCTACAACAACAGCAACAAGATGTTCGACAACCACCGGACAGGACGACGTACAGACAAACACTAAACGCCATTCACCCAGAGTCAGTCAATGCCTTTAAGGACTTTCTTCCCGTGAATGGCGTGCTTAGAGAAAAAGTAACACCTATTGCAAGCAAAGAGCTCGAGCTGCCCTGAGAGACCCGGTTGACACTGGCACATTTTAGGTCTGGATACTGGAGCAAGTTCAACTTTTACCTAACCATACGTATATTGAAGTCAGTATTCAGAAAATGAACATGTACCCAGGCTCAAGACCTGTTTTGGATTAGACCTCGAAGCCGACTTACTAACTTACCTGTTGAGTCTTCACACGGCTCCGAAGTATTTTTCGTTGACTAACAGCTACCTACTATCAAATCGTTTCCGTACAATAAAGTTTTCCAATAATAATAGAAAAGTTAGCCCCCTTCCCCTGTACAAGGGCTCACATACAGGATCCAAGTCCGAATCCTCTCCGACCTTCCTCAATTCTTTGCTTGGCCTTTTCAACTATAGTTAGTGAAACAGCACGTCGTTTTGAGGACCATAACAACAATTTTCTAATTTCGCCTGCTGAACTACCTGCCTAACAACTTGGAAAGGAAGTACTAGACTTAAAGGACTCCATTCGGCATTACATTACAAAATTTCTGAACTCGTCGAGCTACGGACAGGCATTGAAAGTCATTCAAAAATAGTTCTTCAACAGTTTTACTAATTCTCTGTGAGTTGAGATATTGGAAACCATAGAAAACAAGAAGCTTGACCCGTTTGGCGAGGCGAGTATAATACTGACCAATTAAGGTCTGAATACTTTGGCTTAGTCAACTTTTACTTATCCAGACTCGACGTCTACATACTCAACATATATCCTACACGCAATAAACCCCGCCTTCTTTGAATACCGACTAAAACCCACTAATTTAACACCTCTCTCCTTTCTTCGAAACAGGTTGTTTGTTGGGGCGTTACGACCGCATCAACTTTATTTTCATGCAAACAACCAACGTGAGCTTTGTTCAATTAAGCGTTTTGCTGTCCTATTGAGTGCTGGCACCATAGCTATTCATGATGAACAGAATTTCTCGCAGGGTAAGCACACCATTGGCTTTAACTCCAACCCTCATATTAAAATTAAAAAAATTGTTATTTCCGGCAAATAATTCAAAAATTTATTTTCCACTTTCAATTACGTACGTATACGTATATACATATTTAAAATATACTTTTTGGGATTAACTTAAATTTATACATGTATATGATTTTATATAAATGTGGATATACATATATATATATGTATTTATGTAAAAATATTGTGGCTAGAGATTGCTCTAATTAATAAAAGCCATTCATAATGAAAACAAACAAAGCGTGTAACAAAGTTGCACATAAATTGAAAAATATGTGTAAAAACAACCAATCAACCAAATGTCATTAAAATAAAACTCACTATATTATTATTATTGCAAATCTCTGGATATCTACGAAATGCTTCAAGCAAGACGTGTTGCTTTCATTGGAGTTTTCGCTTTTTCGCCATCATCTTACGTCGCTTTTCAAGAGCTTCCAATTTCATATCTTCCAAGTCTTCTTGTATGCCAATTTTTTTACTAATGTATTCCTCGCGCTGAACTTGTGCAAAGTTTGATTCCATAGCGGTGTCGTCACCATCATCCAAATCACGATATCTATAAAATGGTCAAATATATTTATTAAACACATACAAACACTTTGTAAAACTCATAATATGTACTTTTGCTTATCATAGCCAAATATAGCGCGTATATGCGATGAATAATCCTCTTCTTCGTCACCGTCATCAATGAAATCGTCCATTTCCGAGTCGTATTCGGAATCGTCATCCTCAATTCGTAGTCCTATTTGGAATGATAAATAATTGTTTACATGCATATGTCCAAATTACAAGAGTTTATTTCTAACTTACTTTTATTTGCCTGCGGCTTCTTTGTTTCTTTTCCACGATTCCGTTGCATATCTGGCGGTGGAAATTGCCTTGTCTTCTGCACATCCGGTGGCGGGAATTGGCGCGGCTTAATAGATTTTAAATCACGAGGAGGAAATTCACGAGTTGTTCCATTAGTATATGGATTCTTACTCGATGAACTTCTAAAAGGATTTTTACTACTACTGCTACTGGCTGAGGCACTTGCAGATGTTGCCGCTGATTTGGAACTTACTGACGATGGTTTATTTGCAGAGGAATGAGATTGCTTGGCACTTACTGACGAGGAGGACGATGCAGCCGTTAATGATGATGATGAGCTCTTCGCACTAGAGTTTGTTGACTCTTTTTGTGATAATGTTGTTGCTGCTGATGAAGAAAATGGTTTTTTAAATCCATTCGTCCCTCCTACGCCACCTGAAGGTTTACTGGAGGCACCTATTGATTTGCTACTTGATTGAACAGTCGTTGTTGTTGACGTCGGTTTGGTTGCTTGATTCAATTTTGGTATACGACCATTCGGTTCCATACGCGCTGGTCCAGAACTCGCTGAAATATTTACACCATTTTCTTTTCGCTCCTTTCCCGCAGCAGCGGCACGTTCTCGGTCTCTACGTTCACGCGCTTCTTTGGCACGTTGTCTCTCCTCCATTTCCTTCTTTTCTTTCATTGTTAACAAACGTTCCGGTTCTTTTTTCTTAACCACTGGTAATATTTCAACGGGTTCATGTTGCTTTTGTTCGGCCAACTTTAGCAAAGCTTTAAAATCCATTGGTGGTGGTGCTGGTTTTCGGTTCTTTTTGCGATTTTGTTCCTCTTCACGTTTCTTACGTTCTTCTTCACGACGTTCAGCTTCTGGGTCATATATGGGTTTAGAAGAACTTGATCGCACAATGCTGGGTTCCTTAATACCGCTGCTCAAGCTTGTGCTACTACTAGATGTTCTTGGGGTTTTATGGCCTTTCAGCTTTTCTTCAGTTTCGCGCGTAATGGCAGCTTTAACGCGCTCTTTTGTGCCTGAGAGATCCTTTAAAGATTGTGGTCGGCTTGGAGCAAACCCCTTGTCTTCTTTTACGTCTTTAACCTATATTCAAATTTATGTAGAACAGTAATTAAATAATGTTTTATTTGATTTCGGAAGCTAATAAACTCTTTGTTTTATTTTTTTTTTAATGAAAATATACCTTCTCTATGTATTTTGCGTAAAAGGCATTTGCCTCCGTTGAGACGTATCCATAATCATCTTGATCAGGTTGATCCGGTCCAGTCATAGTAACCGCGGTATGATCTGTATTGATTGCATCATCCAGTACGGATTTGTTGGCTGACTTTGTGACTTTGAGCATTTTTCTTATCTTATTTTTAGACTTTTCATCACGCATTGCTAGTAAACTTGCAAGTTTTTGTTGTTTTTCTCTTTCGCGTTCGCGTTCTTCCTGTTCCCGTTTTTGTAGAAATTTTTGAATATTTGCCGATAATTTTTTGTCCTTTGACTCCTTTTTGGGCGGAGCAAATTTGGTGCTGTAATATTTGCTCTGCAACAATTAAGAAATAGTATTAAATAACTAGTAACGCGGATTTAGAGAACAAATATAAAAATACATATAATTAAAATATATTTTTTATCAGCCGAAAAACGTTATATTTTCCAAAATGCGAGGTCTTCAATTTAGTCATTGTTTCCAAAGAAGATCCAACAAGCTTAAGCTTTGTAGCAAAATACTCGCAGACAAATGCCTTTGGTTAGTGCCTTCGCCAAATCAATAACAACACGAAACAATAGCGATTTAAAATTATTAAACACAATATATGTATGTATACGACTCATATCACAAATCTAATTTAATCTATCAATATCTTGACACGTATTAATTAATTTTAATATATTTATTGCACTGGATGCTAATGAACCCACAAAACAGCTGTGACGGTCTTCTTACCTCATTTTTAGTGTTATCACTATTTTTCTTTGCAACATGCAATAGCGTTCCAAAATCCATTTTCCGAGGAATGCTTTATAAATTTGGACTATTTTTAACCACCAAATATGAAGATATTAAATACAGCAAGTTTTCACGTTACTTTAGTTTTTTACGGGAACCGAGAGCATTGAATTATTCACAACTTTTTTACGAAGACTGACAGTTTTTATTTGCAAATCGACAACATTATCGTCTGAAGGGAAATTTCCCCAGAGTTGCTTTTGTTCCCAAAATAAAGGAAATTAAAATACGGCACAGATTCGCATTTTATTGTATCGTTTTTGCAAGTTAAAGTAAAGAACGTAAACAGAAACAAACGGTCTTGCACGGCATATACGTTCTTTGGATGCGGGAAGACGGTTTCGTAAATTGTTTTCTTTATAGAACGAAAATTGAAGAGTTAATCCCAGGAGTTAGCATCCTCTTCACATCATTCGTGTTTTGGAGGGGGTATATGTTTAAGCAAAATCACATTTTTTGTGAAAAAAATTGTGAAAAAGTAAAAAAACGTGAATAATAAAGTTATTCTGAAAATTCGAATCAAATACGCTCTTTGATCTACGTTCTTTAGTACTGTTTCAAATGTAATTTTCTATGCGTACGGGAAATTTCTATCTGGCACTTCCAGCTTTTATTCTCTTGAAAACAGCCGGTTAGTCTCTTTTCTCTCTCTTGCATGCTCCAAAATTGGGGTAGCCTACTTTTCACCTGCGGTGGCAACTCCAAGGAGCATTTTCATTTCTTTCATTCAAATTCTTCATCATTGTCTCCTGAAAATTCCGGAAATTCCTTAGCGGATTCCGTCATCATTCTTACAATCGAAGTGCAGTGCTTTCCTAGAGTAATATATTATTTATGTTTTTATAACATTTGATCGATTTATTTGTTACGCCAGTGTTATCAAGTTCATTACATTGGCGAGTCACATCACAACAGTATAACGCATTCTGGAATTTAATCAATGGCTGGTCAACAACGCCGCAATGAAAATCTTAGTGAAGCTATGCAACGCCTACAAATGGGGGAGGGTGATAAAAGTGGGCTAAGTTCACCCAAATACACCGGAGTATCGAATTTTATACGCCAGCATGTTGGTAATAATGCCCCGATTCACCAACAACAATCTGCAGAGGAGTATAAATTGTACGAACGAACAAACATAATCGCATCTTCTAAATATGCCACACCCCGTCCAATTGAACAGTTGGCAGCTGAATCAAACACAAATAGTTTGCAATTTTCACAACCAACGTCTAATGGGACAGTACCGATTAATTCTAATAGCAGTCCAAATTACATAGGTCGCAGTGAAATGTATGAAAGAAAGTTATCAGCAAAACAATCGCCTGTTTATGAAAATCTCGAATTTTGCGGAGGTGGTATTGGTGGTATACCATCAGATGTATTTTTCGAATCAACAAACAAACGTGCACAACCCCAAAGCCCTACTGCTAATCCATCACGTGGTCAATATATGATTATGCATGCTAGTACTAGTAGTGGACGTTTTGCTCATACACCAATACCAGATTCCCATACGGATGCAACGCCTATATATGAGAATATTATACCGCACTCCGGACAACGTGCACAACCGCAAGCTTCACCAGCTACTGCTACAATATATCAACACGTAGAGATTTCACCACAATTAAGTGGTGCTGGAGGTGCAGGAACTCCGCTCGCGCCACATCATATACGTGAGAATTCTGGTCTAGATATGTCAGCGGTGTTGGCTTCGCCGATGCATCGCCGTAGCACATCTAATTCTTCATTGAAAACGGCAGCGTCTAATAGCACTGCGGCTGCTACTGGCGGTGGTAGTGGTCTATCTTCGCCAACACAGCGCTATCGCAATCTTTCCTTGCCCAGTCACACAAATAATTTACTAACGTCGCCAGCAAAATCCCTTGCCTCTAGTACAAGCAGCAACGATTACAAGCTGCTACAGCACACTCCAATCAAGAATACTGTACGTGCATAAAATTTTTATATATGTAAATATGTTTATTATTTACATTTAAAATAATATTTTTTATTAAACAGCATCACATTGCCCCACATCATCCTATTATTAATGTTTCGGTTAATCCAAATTACATTGAGGAAATCAATAGTTCAGATTATGTTTGTATGACAGCCAATTTGCATCGGCAGCCAGCTAGAAGCCCCACAGGAGGACTGCAATCACTGCGAACGAATACTACAGCGCTGGCTTCGAGTAGTAGTGGTTACCGTAAGATGTGTAACGAGTCACCAGTATATATAGGTAGCAGCAGTATCGGTGGTGTTAGTGATTTAGAGCAATCCTCTACACCGACTGGTACGCGAAAAATTTCCCCTATGAGCGAAAGGAAGTACACACAATCACCACTTGCTATACCGCAGCGATCAATGCCATCCGGCGGTGGTGGCGGCAGTATGGCAGCCTCATCTATATCACCAACACCATCGCAAAATAGCACAGGTATGTTAATACTTTGCTTATGATTTTTCAATCAAAGAATCATATATATTTCACATTTTCTAGGTCTTTCAAAGAATTTACTACCATACAGCGTGACTCCACCACGCCCTACTGGTCCCACCGAAGCGCAACGCAAAATTGAGGAACTCACAAGGCAGTTGGAAGAAGAAATTGAACAAAGCGAGGAACAGGGCGAATATTTTGGTAGGTTGCCATGCAAAATGCTAGACGTTACCTTAAATGTACTTTTTTCGCCTTTGCAGGTATTTGTCATACGTGTGGCGATAAAGTTAAAGGTGCAGGTCAGGCTTGTCAGGCTATGGGCAATTTATATCATACAAATTGCTTTATTTGTTGCTCATGCGGGCGTGCGTTACGCGGAAAAGCTTTCTATAATGTACATGGACGCGTATACTGTGAGGAAGATTACATGGTATAGTGCACTTATTATTTAAATCTTCTTCATTGAAATGCACAGTGTTTTTTTTTTCTTACAGTACTCGGGTTTCCAGCAAACAGCCGAAAAATGTGCAATCTGTGGGCATTTAATAATGGAAATGGTATAATTTCTTAGCTGACGTATATTTTGCGTAAATGCATAAAATTAAATAAAATTATTTTTGTCAGATACTACAAGCTATGGGCAAGTCCTATCATCCTGGCTGCTTCCGTTGTTGCATTTGTAATGAATGTTTAGATGGCGTGCCCTTCACGGTGGATGTCGATCATAAAATTTACTGTGTAAATGACTATCATCGGATGTTTGCACCAAAATGTGCTAGCTGTGGCAAAGGTAGGTCACTTACTTTTATATATATACAAATGTATTTATTTATAAAAAAAAAATAACATTTTCTTTAGGTATCACACCTGTGGAAGGCACAGATGAGACGGTGCGTGTAGTATCTATGGATAAGGACTTTCATGTCGACTGTTATATATGTGAAGAATGTGGTATGCAGCTAACGGATGAGCCCGACAAACGTTGCTATCCATTAGATGGCCGCCTACTATGTCGCTCATGTCACTTGCAGCGATTGGCCATGCAACAGTCTTCGCCTCATCTGCGACATCAAGAGCCGGTATGCGCCTCATATCAGTATATGGGTTGAGGGTAGTAAATGAGCTCTTCACAAGTCCAGAATAAACAAGATTTACTTATTATAATTGTATGCATTCCTAAATATTACTATACGTGAAGGACGCAAAGATCAAAAACTAGTATTTAAGATATAATATTTAACGCACAATTTTGACGATAAATTTATAAAAACATAATACGTTGCATTTATTGCTTCTAAATTTTAAAACATAATGTTTATGAAGATGAAAGACAAAATACACTTTCGCACAAAATCAGGACTCAAGTAGGTCTGACTCAAACAGCTAATTTACAGTTTTGTATAATCCTAATGGAGACATACCATACATACTTATATATACATATGTATCTTATGTGTACTCTTTACATACGTACGTCATATGTACTTGAAATACATATTTGTGGAATTTTTGTAATAAAAGGTTTTGGATGTGCTTTGCAATGCTCACGCAATTGCATTTACATACATACATACATATATACATACCTACTTGTATGCATTAAAAAATATTTAATAAAAAAAGCACAGCGTTGCATTTAAATATATTAATTGAAACCTATTTTTATTTATTTTATATTTTATTTTATACGATTTAAGTTAACACTAAAAGTATGATTTGAAAATTCAATGCATTAATATTTCCGTTTGTACCAGACGCTTATTTGTATCTCCTGGCATGCGATATGGTACCGTAGCGGCCATATTGGTGATGGCTTTCGCCTTCTCGCGTAAATGCTGCAATTGCTAACAAAAAAAAAGTCATTTTTACTTAATTATTTTCAAACTAAACCCATAATTCAAAATGTACTTACGCGATCGCGACCAGTATCTACAATGCCAGTATCACGTCCTTTCACGCTCTTGTATTGCGCATATAATATATCCATGGACGCCAATAATATATCCGGATACACTTTACAAATCTCACCACCTAAACGCTTAAAATTATTTATGCATTCTTCCAATTCGTTCATTGACAACGGCACTAGTTTGGTGTTTGCGAGTACTTCCAATGCCAGTTGATACTTTTGTTCGTGATAATAATCGAAGAATGCAACTAGTTCGCATAGCAGATTAAAGGTTGAAATGATTTGCGGATCACACTCAATGCGATTGCCTATAAGACGAATTGCAGTAAATATGCGTAGGTAAAAAAGTACTGATCAAAAGCTGCTTACCGCGCATGCGCTCCCTGAAATCTGCAGCCGTAATTGTGAGACGTTCACGCAGTGAGTCCTTTCTCGAACTTTGATGCACAACTTGGGACAGCAGTATGGCAAGGTAGCGTAATGCTTGATTTTGCATCTACGTAATATAAAAAAATTTTAAGTTAGGAATATATATTAAAATTAATTTTATAATAAATTCTAATTTCACTACAAGCTTACCGAAGCGATATCGAACAGCTTGATGGCATCCTCAAACATGCCCTTATTGACGAGCTCTTCGGCAGCCATGCCAGCAGCTGTACGTGTATCAAAATCAACACAGTCAAATTGTTCGAAAAGTCCGCTAAATATGTTAGAAGTTCGATTTAAATTATTCATACATGCGTATGTATATACACTCACCCGGACATTATTCCATTTGGTTGCATTTTACCAAATATCAAATCATAATTACGACACTCGATTGCCAAATCGCTAACACAAACCAAAAATAAATTCCGTCCTTCGGGATCTTTGAGATTCCGCAAGAAAAAGTAGTATTGTAAAGCTTCAGCTGGATCAGTGATCTCGAATTTTTTTACATACAACATAACCAATCGTGCTATATTTAAGCGGCGCATAGGTATTGGGTCCTCGATGTCCACAGATACTAGAAATAAGATGTGAAAAAAAGATCAAAATATATAAAATTAAATATATTTCAACTATAAAATAAAACATGTTACTTACACAAAGGCTCCTGTATATTACGAGGCCCGCCAATAAGAAACATTTCGTTTAATGCCAAAGCAATATGTAGGGCATGCGTACGATATTGCTCTGTGCGCGATAAAAATTCAATAGCTGCCTCAAATTGTCCTGTCAAAGCGAGCACTTGGAAGTAAAGATGACGCTGTTCACTCGCATTGAAATGTTTCTCGCCATACTTTTCTAGTATCATTGTTTGGAGACCCGAGTATGTGAGCACTTCAGTGTTGTCGTGGCTTTCAGGACGTAGCAAAGAAAGTTGTATCCACAGAAAGTCATCAGTGGTTTTAGCCACTTCCAAGTGTTGCTCATTTATGTCGCAGCCTGCTATTATGCAGTAAACCTGAAATATAATTAATAAAATCATTATTTATTAAATTTTTAATATAGTTCTTGAGCCTACCGCTTTTTTGTATGGATCAGTCGAGTTCTTAATCTTATTGCAATAATGTAGTTTGAGTTGACCTTCCAATTTTGAGTTTATTTTCTGCTCTGGCTTATTAATTTTATCTTCAAGAACTTGTATGAAATCTTCATGACCGGCACTGCAGGAAATCATTTATTATATAATGATAGAAACTATATATTTTCTCGCTTACCCGCCCATTTGCATGCAACGTAGTGCTGATTGTATATCGCCACAACGCAGACAATAGTATACCATTGGCCACAATGGTTTATTATCGATACTCGCGTCTTGCAAACCAAAACAGTTTGATTGATTGAATGTTAGACCCACAAAAGACGAGACTAAATTAAAAGTACTGGGTACACCACCTCGCTGAGCTTCACGCAAATTACTGCTAATGATAGTTGACATATATAATTTGTATCTGGAAAAAAAGTAATTAATAATATATGTAATACAACTTCGTACTCTTCTGAAAATCACCTATTTTCCAAGTATTTTTTAGCTTGGTCGATAAACTGCGTCACTTGTGTGCGATTTAGTATTGGATCGCGATTTCGTGAGACCGGCGCAATGTTGACCATATACTTCATTATTTCCCAAATCTCACTAACTTTTTGATCCTCAAAAGTTTCAGCGACTTTTGCGAATTTTTGCACTAGATTTGGCCGAAATGCGCCCTTAATAATGGCAGTGTTGTACTCATATACCTCACGAGCATAAGCCATTTCCTGTTATTGATAAAGTAAGTGAAAAATATGATTATTTTTTTTTCTAATTTGCATTATTCCATAAGCATACAATTCGGTTAAGGCAAGAACGCGTGCCAAAGGTCTCATTCAGCACTGTTTGCTCTGGCAATTTTTGTATGTCAATCCAGTTCTGTGAAGGTCCAACTAAAGAGTTGAGTAGCTTCACTTTCTCCTGCTGCCATTCACTACGCACACACTCCCAACGGCGTTTTTCCGCCGCTTCAAAAGTCTGTACGAAATAAAATAAATAAGTTATTAAATAGTATTTTTAAGTTGTATATTTTACTCGCTCTTTACTCACACTTCTATTTACTTCTTCGATCATCGACAATATGGCATTCTCCTTTTCATTTTTCAAAAAACTTCTTACATCAGTGTCGGCAATGGGATCTAGAGGTTCGAAGGTTTTTCGTGCATTTAAAGCTTCTAGCTTCTGTGAAATTTTTGGCAAATCAATGCCTTTGGAGCCAAGTAATATGTGCCTGAAAATGTACATAGATATTATAGTACAGAAATATTATTGATCAATATAGTGACGTACGCCTGTATGTCCTGTGCACCAGTTTGAGTGACACGTGAGTGTAATTCCTGAGTTGCTTGCAAAACTTGGGAAATAGTGCGTTCAACACGCGGTAGCTCTTCTGAGTTCTGTGTTTCATTGGTCAAACGTTGTGCTTGTTGCAACAATGAGTTAAAATCCATTTTGCTTTCCACTCTTACTTTACACTTGTTTACAAAAAAAAAACTATTTTATTTTAATAAATAAAAAACTATAAATTAAACTAATCTATTGGAATTTGCGGCTTTTGGCGGTAGCGAAACTTTTGACAATTACAGCCTTCGCCCCAGCTGTACGTCATTCGCTTGTGTGATGCCAGCCGAAAGTTCATTAAACATTTTTAATGAGATTTTTGAATGCAGCGTAGGAAATGGCTTGTTAAAGCCAAAGAACGAATATATTTATATACTAATATATAATATATTCATTTACATTTTGATCTGATTGCATATGGAGATCAAGCATAACATCAGTGACATAACGTTTTTGAGGTAAAATATCTTCTTAAGCGATCATTCGTATAATATATAACAGATTACATTCATACTACGTTAAGTTCTAAATCAAAATTATAAAAAGATAAAAATAATCGTCAAACACTCTGTATAACATTTCGTGAGGAGCTTCATTCAAATAACAATGTTTAAGACGAGCGAAATTTCTTGCAGGTGTAAAAAACCCCCCAAGAATTCAAAAATTTGTGAGAAAAAAAGTCCGGCAACATCACTGATTCAAAGGTATTAATGAAGAGACTGATAAACGTTTTCTTTTCAATTCTCTTGATTTTAAAAATTGTATTAAAAAATCAATAAGTAAACTACAAATATTGATTTTACTGTTCCAGTACTTTATTAAAAAAATATCGGCTTATATCAAAGGTAATTACATAATGTTGTAAATTTCATTCGAATCACTCTTCCAGAGTTTTGAAAATAACGGACTTTATTGGGCACTAGAAGTAAATACACAGACTACAGACTATTAGGCTTAAAATTGCATTTTGAATTGTAGTGCAAAATATATGCCGATATACACAAATATGCATATACATATAAAACACTGATGATAGATTTACTAGTTTGTTAGAACTATTAAAAACCAGCAAGGTTATGCTGGTTATAATTCCTGTGGAAAATAAACCAATCCATTTCTTATCGGATTTCTCTCTGCCTTAGCTTAAATTATTTGAGTAACATTGTATTTTAAAACATGTAGTGTAGTTCTTCAGGTTAATTATTCGAGTATTTGTATAATTTTTAAGAGTAATTGGCCGCATTTGAAGCTCGGGTAATTGCAACAAGCCACATGCACATTATACATAAAGCCGTTAAAAATTAAACATTTTTTAACATTTTTTTTAATGGATCATTTTTATGTTTTTTTTTTTTTTACTTTTTCAACCAATTAGTTTTACGACAATTTTTGCGCAAAATTGGATTCGGTACCATGCAGAAAATGATCATATTCTTGTCAAGTTTAATATGTAATGGCTATATGTATAGTATTGTATATAAAGCGTTGGTACAAAATACGCGATACGATCTTTTCTTTAAAAAGCTACAGGTCACATAATACTTATCATTTCAATTGTGCTTAATTCCTTCAGTTGTGAAATTTTATGCCTTAGGCCATACTACAAGCATTGTTATATTATATGTATATGTACTATGTATATAAATTTTGTGATGTTTAAGTGTGATTTTTTTCTTTTCAGAGTTTCTAAAAGTTAGTTTCATTAAAATTTTTTGATTGCAATAAGGCTGCCGCAGTTGAAGTAGAAGCGGTCAATTGCTCACTTTTGCTACTGTCATCACTAATACAATTATTACGTACAATTCCTACAGTATAAGCCACTACTGTTGCATGATCCAACTTTCCCGGCAGAGCCGCAAATGCACTACTATCAACGACACGTTTCCTAGCCACACGATGTTGCATACGATTAAGTTCGACTTCCCGTTTAATACCATCCGGACCTGTCGCTAATTTATAAAAGAGTTCACGCTGTTCCAAAGTCTTTCGACGTGCTGATGTGATCATTCGAGCGAAATCTATTAATAAATGGCACAATCGTCTAGCTGATGTACACGGCGAAAAAGTACCATTTATACCATAACTCAGTAGATCTTCTAGCCGATAGAGTGTGAGTGCATGTCGCTGTGGCCCGGTTACTAAAGGTAGGCCAGAAATCGATTTGGGTATCTTTGGTAATTGGACTGGGACATTAAGTGGCTGTCTTCCTGCGGCATGCCCAGATCCTGATAAGCGCCTCGGTTCTATCACAGTATGCGAACGCATATACTTTGGTCGACTAGGTGCATTAGTTGTGGCGCTTGCGCTAGCTGCTTCGGGTGAAGATGACTTTTTGGTGCGTGGTGGACGCACTGGTGCACTAGCTGGCGACGTCGGCAGTGATTCAGTTTCGTTCCTCGGTTGGTTGTGATGTGCGTTTTGGTGAATGCGTGCATAAATTGACGATGCACTTTTATTTTGTCTTTTTGGTGCTAAATGTTGTTGACCGTGTGTGGTAGAGCTTGGCATAAGTTTAACATCAGGTGTCCATGCTTCGGCAAACTTGCCAACAACTGGATCAAAATTGTCACTTATACCGTCCGAGGTAAGAAATACAATATCACCCTTCTCAATAACAGTCATGGATAATGTCAAGTTACCAAGTTCTGGGTTGGTGCCATCAGCAGGTCCAAGTGCACCCAATGCGTCACGCATATCACGCATTGATGTTATATCATGTGATGCTTGAGTAAATTCTCGTACGCCATATTTTTTCGAATATACATATCCCAATGAATCACCAACATTGCAAGCGCATACAACATATTTGTCAGATACATCACTGCTTCCGTTAGCAGCTAAAGGTAAAATCACGGCGATTGTGAGGGTACTGAGTGAACCACCCACTTCCAGAATGCAACCATGACCTTCCCATAAACTGCGTAGAAGACTAACAAACACTTCCGTGGTGGATGTCGCCATACATTCGCGTGCCAGTCCGAATATTGCACGGTCTAAATAGTCAAGGCAACCATGCACTGCGGATCGAGCCGCTAATCGTGCGCCATCGCCCCAATTGACCCCGTCAGCAAGCGCCAATGCGGCTGCATTCCCACGTACAACAATACCATAACAATCAGCTATTGGACTACCCATAGGCTCTTTAGTTAACATGTTGTTTTCATACAGGGATACAGATATACCATATGCATAATCAGTTTCCATGTGCCAATCTGTAACACCAGCTATCGCATCTCCGATAAAGTTATTCATTTCCTTACAACTAGTTACTTCAGTCTGATTTGAAACCGCTTCACGAAGTAAACGTTCTGTTGCATTATCTAATAAAACTTTTGGAGTTGTATCCTTTTCTTTTTCGACCAAGTTCTTTGCTTCTGAATCTATAGAAGATTTTGTAATACCATCACTTATAGTTGAATTCAAGACATTCTTGTTGTTCTGATCATTGGCTGCATCATTAGCGGTAAACTTTGTGCTTACCATACTAACCACAATCGTTGTGGATATGCTAGAATTTTCTATATGATTCTTAATTTCCGTTGCCGTATTTGTTGTCGTACTAGATGTTATTGGTTTATTTAAATCTTTCGAACAACATACAGAATTAGCGCTGTTCTGAAGTTTGTTTAAATTGGAAATACCAGTACGCGAATTTTTACGTGAACGAATGCCTGACGGTTTGTTTGCATTTTGATCATTTGTTGTTGCAATGGCACTATTACTTAGTTTTCGTGACATACCACCAAAACGATTGAATTTGTTTTGATTGCGATTGGTACTGGTATTTATACTTCTACGCACCTCAAAGCAATCATTTTCTTGATTAGTATCAATGAAATCGATATCGTCTGCATAACTTGCACTTAAATGCAATTTCGAACGCTTGATGCCGGTGAGTCCTTCATCAGGACCTGTGCAGGCGGCAGTTATAGAGGTGGGACCAGTTGCGTAAACACCAATTTTCAAATCTGGCAAGTCATTTGGATTTTGTCCATTTGAAATTTCTGGACCAGGCACAAACTGGCGATCCATTCTACCTTCCAGATATTTGACAATAAAATTTCCATCATCTGAAGCCTTACGTGCACCTCTGGGACTATCGCGAGGCTCAGCAATGAAGCTTAATTGACGGAAATACGTTGTGACCTTTTGACGTAGCGACGGCATCTTAATGGTGAATAAATTTTTTTCCTATGTTATTTATTTCTTCCTCCTCTATTTAAAATTGTGTATGTTACAAATGCTGTCTCAAATTTCAATTGGGATGAATGAGATCAATTTAACGTCGTTGCCCTCTCTCTAATTACTGCAATTAAGAAAACAAATACTTATATAGCGGGGGTTGGTAGTAGTCGAAAGTCTTTTGCGTGTATTGTTGATGATCCATATGATGTCTGTAAAGAAAGCACGTTAAATCCTCCAAGAACAAAACATTTTACGTGCACACAAAATAAATATATACATACCCAAAGTGAGTACGTGTATAATGGAGCACAAAGGATTGATTCATTCACAAGGCCAAGTTTTATTTTCTTTGTAAAACATTGTTTTCGAAATTCCAAAGGGGTGGGCGGTGCATTTCATTTGTATATTAGTAAAATAGTCGTGGATTATCTATGGAAATGTAATGAAAACAAGTGGGAAAATATTCAATACGGATTTAACACTTTATTGTAACAGATTTTATTTCCAAAAATAGCAAACAAATAATCTATTAATAATTTATTTTCAATTACGTTAATATCGATTGTTTCACCAACTCACTACACGACTAGCTTATTATGAATAAGCTGACTTCCGCCAGTGTTGCTGCTTCCATTTGAAACTTTGTCTTTAATAAGTGCTATTTGATTTTCACGTAAATACTGTAGATATTAATTAGGTAATTATTAGTTTAATTTGTTAAATTTGCTTTTATATCTTCCGTTATAAATTGTTGTTATATTTTTTCAGATTTGCAAATGATTTTGAAGTTTTATCGTAAATCATAAGAATTGCTTGCAAAAAAACTGATTATTGAAATCGATTAACTTCTAACGAGGTAGTCGAAAAGATTGTCAGGCTTAAATGATGGAGAAGTAGATTGCGCTTGCGAATCACTTTTGACAACGATCTGTGTAATAAATTAAAAGAAAACTTAAAAGCAGCAAAGACCGTAAACGCATGAGAAGGAAAAAACTCATGCGGTCTTTGTACGAAAGAGGAAGAAATAGCTACATAGAAAACTATAAATTTATCTATTTTAGTAACATACGCAAATTCAAAATTTTTTTGAATGTGTTAGAGAGTCCCTTATATTGTTCTTGCTGGGTTTAGCAAAATTCGTTGTGTTTGATAGCGACTAATACCTATCGGTTATCGTGTTTCTTCTATTTTCTCTATTGCAACTTGTAAAGAACGGCCGCATTGGATTTACGAAATTATTTGGAAAGAGTTTATAGAAAATAAAATATACTCCAAGTAATAAATCTCCTTTCAAGCAGTGCAATGGCGGACATGAAATCTGTTTTCCACGAATGGTGCTCAAAAAATAAAGTGGAACCGAAATTCAACGTTCGACCTACCGGTAAGTATATATACACAAAAATCAATAATAGCCAAGCTACTAATATAATCTTGTGTACATACTTACATAAATTTATACTATAAATATTTAGGGCCCAAGCATCGCCAAAGATTTTTATGTGAAGTACGTGTACCAAATTATCCTTACGTAGCTGCTGGTAATTCTACCAACAAAAAAGATGCTGAGCGCAATGCCGCTCGTGATTTTATGAGTTTTTTAGTGCGCACCGGAAAAGTGAATGCGTCTGATATACCAGCAGATGCAGGTATCGCAGCTATAGCACCGACACCTAGTGTGGGCAATGGCAATGAAAGATATGGTTCGGAAAGCAAGTTCTTCGACGGTGGTTTGGGACCTCAAGATTTGGGTCAGGCTTACCGGCCTATTGAGCGCGAAATCAATCCTGTTGATAGAGCCCGTGAACAATTGGAAATGAAAGAAGCCGAATCGGTGGATGTAAATGCTGCAATACACGGTAACTGGACAATTGAGAATGCTAAAGCAAAACTACATCAATTCATGCAGATGAACAAGATAACTGCAGATTATAAATACACACCAGTTGGACCAGATCATGCAAGGTATGATAACTGATTCTAATTGTAGTATTCCAAAAGTCTACGAACACTAAATTATAATATACAGTTTTCATTGAGCTCATCTCTTCGATTTTAAATCGATAAATCAAAGAGGAAAGCTTGAAATGTTTTGTGCGCCTGCTTGTGGCAAATTAGGTGGCAGAAGCCTTAGTAACTAAAAATTAAAACAAAATGGGACCAAAACTTGGTTAGGCATATGTCAATGTGCGTTATTTTGTAAATAAAACTATGATTTTGTCTTATTAACTATGACGAATATTTTCAACTTTTCACTGTTGGAAGTTTTCGTCAAGATTTTTTTGTTGAGTAGTTGCATAAACTTATAAATTGGGTATCAATTGTATGTATGGTCTAGGTAATGGAAAAAGATGATTTGAACACTACAATATACGAAATCTATGCTTGAAGTATCTCGTCTGGCGATATCCAAATATAATTTGGATATCTGAAACATTGAGTACCAATTTAATTTATGCATTTTGGTCTTTTATAATACTTATAGTTTTTGCGTATTATTGAATTTACTAAGTAACGCACAATGCCATAGCCATTGGTATGACATCTTCTACGGCCTGTATTAAGTACACCAAAATAAATTGCCATGGGTAAGTGAAGAAAATAAAGTAGAATATAAGTTAAGAATATAAGGTTATACATTTCGTGGTTTCAAAAGTACCGGGCTGTATTTTGTATCCGTCAAAATCTAATATAGAGGCCATTACCCCCAAAAAAACTTGCTCTCAGGCACGCTCTCTGGTCCGCAGGTATGATTGAGCCGTACTTCTTTGAAAATTGGACTGTAACAGTCAATTTGAAGCGTTATGGTGGTATGATAATCGACTTTTTTCGATTGGAATTGAAGGAGACGGCTTGGACAATATCTGGATTTAACAATATGTTGCCAAAAACCACACTACACGATCGGACGTGGCTTTATTGTGAAAGGAACTTGCCGGCCCCATAATTTTTAATCTTGGCTATGTTAATTTGCCACCGAGATAGTGCAATTAAATGCTGTAGGAAATTTTTTTTTGGGGCGTACATACCTTAAACTCATAAAAAACAACATTCGTATATACCTTCTAATATTTGCTTGAAAATTGCCAAAAATTCACGATGCCCAAGTTAAAGCTTTAAAGTGAAAGAGAAGTTTTAGAAAAAAATATTTGATATGCATTCTTGAAACCGCAAAATGGATAACTCTGTATATTTGCTAAGTTAAAAAGTGAGTAATTTTCAAATTTTTTTTAATTTTCTAATATGAGAAAACCTTACCCATAACAATTATGTATTAAAATTTTTTTCTAAATTGAATTACTTTACTTCTAAAGGAGTTTCATGGCTGAAATGCATATCTTTGTACGTGAACTAAAACGTACCATAACGGCACGTGAGACCGGCTCTAACAAGCAATCAGCCAGTAAATCATGCGCTCTGTCCTTAGTTCGACAGCTTTACCATTTGGGTGTAATTGAGGCTTTTAGTGGTACACTGAAGCAAAAAAAAGATGACGCGGACATGAAACCCTATCCAGTAAAGATATCACCCGACCTCATGCAAAAAGTAGAACAATGCATACGCGATCTTGATCTTCCCGTTATTAATCCACATAATATAAAACCGGAAAACGAGAATATTGGAGTTAGCTTGCTTGTTAGTATTAAAAGTTTATTTTGTTAAGTAGAAAATTTATACTTAATTTCTAAATTTGTAATTTTTTCTTACATGTATTACGCTTAAGGTTCCAACCAACAAAGATTCCAGACGCATAGGCCACGACGATGCCTCTCAGATGCAGGGGTCTGTTATACCTTGGGCTCCACCACAACCCAATTGGAATGCATGGAGTGCATGCAACATTGATGAAGGTTATTTGGCCACAGCCACTTTGGATGATCTTTGTGAAGATTTAGAAGCCACGTCCAAGGAGAAGAAAATTAATAACATGGAACTACAAAAATTCATTGAATTCCGTGAGGTTCTCCCAATTGCCGCTATGCGTAATGAAATTATGTCAAGTATACACGACCATCCAGTAGTTATTATACGCGGTAACACTGGCTGTGGTAAGACCACACAAATCGCACAATATATATTGGAAGACTACATTGCATCCGGTCAAGGCGCTTTCTGTAATATATATGTAACACAACCACGTCGTATTTCCGCAATTTCAGTTGCAGAACGTGTTGCTGCTGAACGTTGTGAAAATCTTGGCGAATCTGTTGGTTATTCCGTGCGCTTCGAAACTGTAACACCACGTCCGTATGGCGCCATTCTTTTCTGTACTGTTGGTGTGCTATTGCGCAAGCTTGAGGGCGGCTTACGCGGTATCTCGCACATTATTGTCGATGAAATCCACGAACGCGATGTTAATAGTGACTTTTTGTTGGTTATATTACGTGATATGGTGCACACATATCCGGAACTACATATTATTCTCATGTCTGCCACAATTGATACTACATTATTTTCGGAATATTTCGGACGTTGTCCCGTTCTGGAAATACCTGGACGCGCTTTTCCAGTACAACAATTCTTCTTGGAAGATTGCCTCGAAATGACCAAGTTTATGCCCACACCCGAATCGCGTAAGAAAAATAAAGATCGCGATGATGAAGAGAAAGCAGTAATTGCTGAAAATAGCGAAGATGCCAATGATCAAAATTTGAATAAAGTTTGCGATGCCAAGTATGCGCCGGCAACCAAAACAGCAATGGCTTTGTTATCGGAGTCTGAGTGTTCATTTGAGTTAATTGAAGCCCTATTGGCGCATATTAAATCGAAGAATATACCTGGGGCTGTGCTGATCTTTTTGCCTGGCTGGAATTTGATTTTCGCCTTAATGAAATACTTACAGAATTCCCAGTTTGGTGGCCCACAGTATCGCATTTTGCCTTGTCACTCTCAAATTCCCCGTGAGGATCAGCGAAAAGTATTTGAAACAGTACCAGATGGTGTAACAAAGGTAACTGTTTTATTATTAACTATGCATATAACGGTCATTAAATGTATTCTAAAAAAAACCTACTACACAAATTCTATTTTCACTAATATTTGGGAATATGAATGAGTTCAACTGAACGCTTTTATTTAACAATATAAAACAATTACTTCAATTATTGTACAATTAAAATGAAAAGTTTTCTTTTACTTTCAGATCATATTGTCCACTAATATCGCCGAAACCTCTATAACCATCGACGATATTGTATTTGTCATTGATATCTGCAAGGCACGCATGAAGATGTTTACCTCGCACAACAATCTCACCAGTTATGCCACGGTCTGGGCGGCCCGATCGAATTTGGAGCAACGTAAAGGTCGTGCTGGCCGCGTACGTCCAGGTTTCTGTTTTACTCTTTGCTCACGCGCACGTTTTGAAAAACTCGAGGAAAGTATGACACCAGAAATATTCCGTACACCACTGCATGAACTAGCACTCTCCATTAAATTACTACGCCTTGGATCCATACATCAGTTCTTGTCAAAAGCATTAGAGCCGCCACCACTTGATGCCGTAATTGAGGCTGAGGTACTACTGCGTGATATGCGTTGTTTGGATGACAATGATGAGTTGACTCCGCTAGGTCGCATTTTGGCCCGCTTACCCATCGAACCGAGACTCGGTAAAATGCTTATTTTGGGCGCAGTTTTTGGCTGTGCAGATATATTGGGAAACATGGCTTCATATTCAAGTACTTTCTCCGAGATATTTGCTTTAGATATTGGACAACGACGTTTAGCTAATCATCAGAAGCAGTTGGGCGGTCGTAAATGTTCCGATCATGTGGCTATGATTGTTGCCACACAAATGTGGGAAAACGCTAAAAATCGTGGCGAAGAAGAGGAGATAAAGTTTTGCGAATGGAAGGGTCTACAGTTGTCCACCATGCGTGTGATGGCAGAAGCGAAAGGGCAGCTTTTGGATTTGCTACAACAAGCTGGTTTTCCAGAGGAGTCAATGATATCATACAAAGTGGATGCGAATTCGGAGGATCCCACCTTAGATATGGCTACTGCATTGCTTTGCCTGGGTCTATATCCAAATGTTTGCGTGCATAAAGAGAAACGCAAGGTTTTGACCACTGAATCCAAAGCCGCCCTGTTACATAAGACATCTGTGAATTGCAGCAATCTGGCGGTGACATTTCCATATCCGTTCTTTGTATTTGGTGAAAAGATAAGAACCCGCGCTGTGTCATGCAAACAGTTGACCATGGTGTCACCATTACATTTGTTGCTCTTTGGTAGTCGTAAGGTGGATTATATTAAAGATAAAATTGTGCGTTTAGACAATTGGCTCACTTTTGAAATGGATCCTCAACATGCCGCTTCCTTAGCTGCACTTAAGCCCGCCATTGAAGAGTTGGTTACAATTGCGTGCGATAGGCCAGATGAAATTGGACAACTCGAAGCGCCGCAAGCAAATCTGGTGAATGTCATAAAAGATTTATGTGTAATGAATGCTGGTGACTTTAACTTAACCAGAGAGACAGGTGTTTTACCCTTTCAATCGCGTCAAGGCGGTGGTGGTCCACCAAATAAACGTGGACGTTTTGATGGCGGTAGTGGTGGAGGCGGTGGTTGGAGTCGAGGCGGTGGCGGTGGCGGAAATTGGAATTCAAGTGGTAGTAACTGGAACCGTGGTGGTGGAGGTTTTGGCCGTGGTACTGGCCAGTGGGGGCGTTATGGAGGTGGTGGTGGTAGGGCTAGATTTTAAAATTTAACAGCATTATTACACCATTTTCATTAATTGCTAATAAAGAGAAATGGTAATCTATATATTCTAATTTAAATTTCTAATATGTGTTAATAGTTTCGAAGGAATAAGTTTAAATAATATTCAAGCGTTATGCTCTTCGTCTTCTTATTTTTGTTTTCGTTGACATTTTAAGCTGCAGTAAAAACGCTTCGAGTGTACGTAAGTTGCTTCCTTTTCACAGACGCGACACCAACGCTTTCTTTTGATTTCAACCTCTTCCACTTGTAGCTCGTGTAAACGCTGTTGTAGGCGCGCTACTTCATTTTCCAATTGTTCAGTTTTCTGCTGGCAGCGTGGCCACAGATAACAAACTATGAGTGACTGATCGTTGATGGTTTGAATTATAGCTTTCGTTTGTTTAGCTTTTAGACTTAGCGGTCGGCGCATTTTCAAGCGATATCGTTGAAGTTTTATATGCGGCGCCTTCGGTAAGTAGTGATTCTCTGACAACCTGCTGCACATTTGACTTGTTAATAGTCTGGTTGTGCGCCTTGGAATGAACTCAACTGTGGTCTTCTTTGGCTTCTTTTTAACAGGTCTGGACCAATTAGAAGCAGTGTCTGTGGATGTTTTTGATGAGGACACTGTAGTTTCACTCAAATCTGAACCGTAAATGCGCATGTTATGGAAAATTTTGTTTATTGTTTGGTAATGTTTAATTTTTTTTTTTTAATTTTCGCGGTCTAGTTGGTTTTTTTTTTTTTTTTTTTTGAGAGCAAGAAACAAAGTTTGAAACCGAGCTGCCAGTTTGTTTACTGGTGGATTGTGCGTTAACTCAAAAATTCAATCGAATGGAAATATTTACAAACTATCCAATTTTTGTCAGTTATTGTTTCAATGCCCCTTTTGACGTTGAATAGTGAATACATGTTTTTTTTTAATTTAACTTACGTTTAACCTCCAGTGTAGAGACTTACACATGCATGTAACCAGCAAACGACTCACTTATACAAAAATTTTAGAATCATTTCCTGTCTTTTTTCCGATTACCTTTGAATTATTGCTTTCCGATATTTAATAGATTTTTTTTTATAAAATTATAATTTTTATCGATAATAAGAAACAATTTTATTAATTTGAAATCTCCACAAAAAGGATCTTTTACAATGTAACATTATAACGGCGAATAACTGGCAACACTATTATTTCTCTGCAATTCCTTTTCCTTTTTCTACTGTTTTCTGATTGCATTGCTTGGAAAATAATGCGGATATAGTGGTTGAGTCGTTCTTAACCGTACCGTGAAAATTTATAAAAATTGTTAGAAGTTTTCAACTTCTGGTAATTTAAAATGACTTAATTGTGTGCTAAACTATTGGGACATTAAAATAAATCAACATCTTTAGTGAATTGATATTAAAATAGTGATAATTTGCAAGTGAATTATAATTTCACCGTCGGCAGGACGAAAAATCGATAGTTACGGACGGAGATTGTGAAAATTAATTTTCAACTAATTTTAGCCAAATTATGGTGGGCCTACTGGATCCAATAAAATATGGTGAACATTTTTATGAATTATACACGAGCAATACGCGTCGGTAAGTAAAAAATTACACTAAAATCTAGTAAGAAAATTTTTGATGCTACGCTAGTTGCTTGAGTATCGATTTTTCAAGGCATAAGTGAGTTTCAACCCTTGAAGTACGTCAAGGCTATTGACATCTGGCAGTCAGCTGTAATGCGATGCAGCTGCCAACTGGAAACTAAGAAGATGGCCAAAACAAAGATACGACGATAATTGGTTTGTAGGTCAAAACGCCGGGAAATGGCGAACAGCTGTTTTTTGTTTACTATTAATTGTTTTGACTGCGCAAGTCGGTCATGCTTGCCGGCATTTTTTATGTACATTTGTTTACATTTTGGCTCAAGGTCATTAACGTTCAATGGCCTAGATTACATCTGTAGGAAATGGAAAGTTTCAGAACTATGATTTTGGCAAGGGGCGTGGGGTGTCGTGCGCGTCTTGTAGTGAAATAAAAAAAACCACATAAGTATTATAGATTCTTTAATAAAAAAGTGAGATTGACTTATGTGTGCAAGTGTGCAACCTCCTTTTTGACACACTTTTGGGCAATCTATTGCAATTGGAAATCGCTGAACCTGGTGAGTGAGGCTGGAGAATTTATATTTCGGAATTGTATCCCACTTTCATTGAATATTGTATCTACACGAGTGAACCCTCGTTAATTAAGTGAAGATAAGGTTGATAGGCCATGAATTAAACTTTTGTACTCTTTGCTTTATTTATTTACGTGGTGCAGTTTTTCTACAAAAGTCTATCAAAAATTGCTTATTTTCACACTTTTGCTATTTACTTTGTATTTCTTTCACTAATTTCATTATGTTAAACACATTCAATTTAATAAATTTATCTTGGATTGAAAACATAATAAAATAAACTATCATTGTAATCGTCGACCCGCTTGCGAATTTAACGCAAATGAAATTTAAATCAGATTGAACAAATCACTTGGTTTATTTCTAAACAAAAGTATACAAAGTTAAGAAAATAGAAATATACTAAGAACTAATTACTTACCGCAGTATGTCCTTCACTCATTCCATTTGGTCGACGACTGAATTTTGTTAAAGGCTGCAACTACCCAACTCACTCTCCAGCCGTCCATAACTGACGACGTTAGTAGTGAAATACATACACGAGCTATCGACGCCGCTGAGAGCGGCGAAATGTTGCCAGCTGCCTGTGTGTTTGCACACTTTTGAACAAATTCATAATTTTCGTCAACGAATTTCATAATTTATTTGCTTTAACATAAACACAAGGCAAATATACATGATCTATATAGTAACAAATAATTAGTTACGCATTTAGTTTTCATTTCTTTTGAACAAAACTACGCATTATCTTCGATTATTTAATGTTACTTTTATGCGACTTATTTCAAAAAAAAATCGAAAAAGTTAATTTTTCCCATACCGGGAATCGAACCCGGGCCTTCCGGGTGAGAGCCGGATATCCTAACCACTAGACAATATGGGATTGTTAAATGTTAACGCACAAATGCTTTACTTGAGCAGCACAAACGAAACTCAACATGAGTGATTCAGTGAAACTGGTATACATAGAAACGAGTACACCAAAAGAGAGACCGTATACGAGCATATTGTAATTTACGTTCTGTGCATGTATCTGAGCTGAAAAGCAATATAAGTTGTGTACTTCGTAGATATGTATATACATATGTATCTTAGCTACGTCAGAATATATCTATGTTTATCAGAGCATTATAGCTACCAACGGACATACATATGAATGTACGCTCACTGCAGCACGGTGGTGATATGTGTTCAATGATTTGTTGTTGTGTCATCTAAGCAATACTTTTTTCACTTAGGCTGCAACTACCCAACGAGCGTACCAGCCGTCCATAGTAACCTATCTTATGAGAGCGCCATGTAAACACAAAGTTGTCACCGATTTACCATAGCGTTGCTGACGTTTGTGTCGCAGAAACCAACGAAGTTTTGATTTTTCCGTAAAACCGGCTCGGCTCATTTTTCGTTGCTATACAAGGTTGCCAGTATAGCCTTTCTTAAAGTAACATTAAATAATCGAAGATAATGCGTAGTTTTGTTCAAAAGAAATGAAAAATAAATGCGTAACTAATTATTTGTTACCATATAGATTATATATATTTGCCTTGTGTTTATGTTCAAGCAAATAAATTATGAAATTTGTTGACGAAAATTATGAATTTGTTCAAAATTGTGCAAACACACAGGCAGCTGGCAACATTTCGCCGCTCTCAGCGGCGTCGATAACTCGTGTGTTTATCTCGCCTCGACGTCGCCAGTTATGGACGGCTGGTAAGTGAGTTGGGTAGTTGCAGCCTAAGAAAAACAGTTGCGGTACATAGGCATTTCGAACATACATCGATACATAAGTATGAGAATAATGAGAACAAAAATGAGTATGCTAAAAGAGCATGATATAAAACAAATGAGAATGAAATTATGCTAAACTCAAATGACATGAATATGAAATAATTTTACAGGCAGGAGTTCCCAACAATCATTATATTATGAAATTTTTATTTGTTGTTAATAAATATTAAGCAGATAATAATGTTGAATTTCATATAAATATCTATTCATGCATTTAATTTCAACTGTCAAATTACGAGCGAAATAATAAAAGAGAAGCAAAATAACCCAACAAACCAAAAATAATAGTGATGGGTTACCTTAACGCTATTTAATCTATTTACATATATTTTTCAAATTAATATATGTTTGTTTTTTATATTACTATAAGGTTTTAATAAAAATAATAGGTTCAGAGCAAATTGAAATGTCCGGGTCAGTGTTGCAATCCAAAGCGAAGCCAAAGGCCGCCAACTTATTACGAAGTTTCACTTAAGAATACTGTACAATGCGAAGCCGTTGTTGGTTCGGCCCAGGGTTATTTTTTCAAAGTATGGCCGAAAACCGTCTAATTATAATCATTCTACTTAATAGTAATAAAAACCTTGCAAGAAAACTGCCGATCATTTGAGCCAACATATGTCATGAATACATGATGTGATATCCCATCAGTTTGTAGAACGATTTTCATCATTCATTTTGAAAAATGTGATGTTTACATTTGTATACGTGTACGTCATGCTCTCTTCGTTTCCTTGCGCATTTTCGTCATTTTTGTAGGACAAACGGAGCAGAGCTGCGCATTGATACCAAAAGAAGACAATATTGAAGTAAAAAAATTCGCAGCAGTGCCATACAAGCCGAACGCAGCTTTGCCAAAAATTTTCCCTACATATATACATAAATACAATTATTTATACATAGATCAGGTTTAGGTTTATATAGCATACAAAAGAAATAACAATACAACAATAAATTCGTTTTCAAAAGTCTGGAAAATATAAGAAAATAAGAACATAAAATAAAACGTAGTTGAACGGATGCACTGACTGCATTCTCTTTGTTAGTACTGCCCGAAATCGTGTGAGTGTTTTGGTGAACACATCAGCCCGTTCTAGTTTGGGCAAAATGTGCTAAAAAGTAAAAAATTTCGCCTTTTTCAAGAGCTTTTGTAGAGTTTACTAGAATGCCCATGAAAAGTATAGATATCTTGGTCAAAAGTTTGATTCATTGACTTTCGGAAAGCGTAGTTGGGAAGTGCCCCGCCCATGAGAAGTATAGATATCTTGGTCAAAAGTTTGATTCATTGACTTTCGGAAAGCGTAGGTGGGAAGTGCCCCGCCCTCTCCCTTCGCGCCCTACATCCCTTCAAAGTGGGATAATTAAGTAAAGACTCCCATATATTTCTTTTATTAACTTTTGTGGGTTCCTATACGGCATGGAATTGCCGGCAGTGAAGAAAATAAAATAAAGAGTGCCACGTACGACACTAAAATACACATCGAATAAAATGACGTCGTCGGCTCTAATGGCTCGCGAAAATGACGAATCGATACGAACAGAACGTCACAAAAATGCCCAGTAGACACATACGAATGAATGAAACGAAATACTCGCCAACTTTTAAGGGTGAATTTTTCGTTTTGGTTGATTCCTCAGCCAACATACATATAAACGAGGACAAAACAACCACTGGCTTGACTTTATACAGCTAAATTAAAGACCCAAATATTAAGGACGTATATCAAATTACTGTTATTGGCAGAACCTTCGAAATTTATAGAGTAGTGAGGTGAATTTCCCTATGTTTTGACGATGAAAGTATAAAAATAAGCTCTTTCTAGCATTCCAATCCTATCCGTCAAACGGAAGCACACTTTTAATGACTCGCACCTTCCCACAACCACGATCCATTTAGGCTTTAAAGGAGATGAAATCCGTAAAAGTATTATCTATAATTTCTCCAAACTAACAGATATGTAGAAATATATTCCCCTGAAGCAATATAATAAATGTGGTCGTTTAGATCTTTCCAACGGAGTGGAGGTCTTCCTCTTCCTCTGCTTTCGGCGGCGGGTACTGCATCGAAAACTTTTAAAGTTGGAGTATTTCTTATCCATCCGGACAACATGATCTAGCCAGCGTAGCCACTGCTTCTTGATACTCTGAAATTTATCAATTCTGGCGTATAACTCGTACAGCTCATCGTTCCATCGTCTGCGGTATTCGCCGTTGCCAACGCGCAAAGGACCATAAATCTTACGCAAAACCTTTGTCTCGAAAACTCCTTACGGCGACTCATCAAATGTTGTCATCGACCATGCTTCCGCAACATATGGCAGGACGGGAACGATGAGGGTCTTGTAGAGTTTGGCTTTCGTTCGTTGGGAAAGGACTTTAATTGTCTACTCAGTCCAAAGTAGCACCTGTTGGCAAGAGTGATTCTGCGCTGGATTTCAGGGCTGATATTATTATTGGTGTTAATGCTAGTTCCTAGATAGATGAAATTATCTGTGACTTCAAAGTTATGATTGCCAACAGTGAAGTGGGAGTCGAGTCGCGAACGCCACGACCGTTTGTTTGATGACGGAGATATTTCGCCTTATCCTCATTCACTACCAGATCCATTTGCCTCGCTTCTTTATCAAGCCTGGAGAAAGCAGAACTAACGGTGCGGCTGTTGAGACCGATAATGTCAATATCTTCGGCGTACGCCAGTAGTTGTACACTCTTATAGAAGATTGTACCTTCTCTATTCAGCTCTGCAGGTCTTATTATTCTCTCCAGCATCAGATTGAAGAAATCGCACGACAAAGAGTCATTCTGTCTGAAACTGGTACCGAACGGCTCGGAAAGGTCCTTCCCAATTCTGACTGCGCTTCTGGTGTTGTCTAGCGTCAGCTTACGCAGCCGTATAAGTTTTGCCAAATTCAGACATAGTGGCGTAAACGCAGCTCCTATTCTTGCTGTCGAAGGCGACGATGGTGGGTGTCGATCCTCTTTTCATGGGTCTTTTCCAAGTTTCGGCGCATGGTGAATATCTGGTCAATGGTTGACTTAAGAGGTCTAAAGCCACACTGATAAGTTCCAATCAGTTTGTTGACGGTGGGCTTCAGTCTTTCACACAACAGGACGACAGGACTTTATAGGCGATATTAAGGAGACTTATCCCGCAGTTGGCAGAGACCGTGGGGTCCACTTTTCTATGGATTGTGCTGAGCACATCCAATGTTGTTGTTGTTGTAACTGCAAAACTATTCCCCAAAGTGCTTTTTGGGGAATGTTGCGGGAGTGACAGTCCTTGGCCGGATAAAAATCTGGGCCGTTCCGGTATAAAGACCCGATTGTCGCGGGAACTATTGGATTTTAGTCGCCTCTTACCACAGGTATGCCTTACCGCGGGTAAATTCTTGAGCCCCTAACCCGCAGGGGGGCATGCTTTCGTCCGACCATATTCTGCAAAATAGCTGATGCATGCACCTTGTCAGCTCTTCACCGCCATTTTTGTATAGTTCTGCCGGTAGGTCGTCAGCTCCAGCCGCTTTGTTGTTTTTTAAGCGGGCTATTGCTATTCGAACTTCTTCATGGTCTGGTTATGGAACGTCTTTTCCATCGGAATCGATTGGGGTTTCGGGCTCACCATTCTTCATTTTCACTACTATTGGTTGGAGAAGTGTTCTCTCCATAAATTCAATATACTCGGTGGCCCTCCTCTCTCCTCTACCTCTTTGTGTCATACAAGAGTCTGCTCCAGTCTTGAAACCTTCCGTAAGTCGTCGTATCTTTTCATAGAAATTTCGAGCTTTACCCTTGTCGGCCAAGATCTTTATACTCACGCATCTCGGCCTCTTCCTTTTTTTATGTATGCATATGCGTCTTGCTTCTGTCTTCATGTCTCGGTATCTAACCCATTCCATCCTGCACGTGGATTGTGAGGTAGGCAGTCTGTTTTCTCTCCACTGCGACAGGGCAGTCCTCATCGTACCAGCTGTTTTTACGACCTTTACGAATTCCAATAGTTTCGCTTGCAGCTGTGCTTTAAGAGCTGGAAATGCCGTCCCACAAGTCCCGCATACCGAATTGCAGGCGAGTGCTCTCAGAGAGCAGGAGTGCAAGTCGAGTAAAAAATCGTTCGGCAGTCTGTTGTGATTGCAGCTTTTCAATGTCGAACTTTCCTTGTGTTTGTTGACGGGCGTTATTCGATACACAGAGGTGCATGCGTATCTGCGCTGCAAGAAGATTTTGGTCCGAGCCGATGTTGGGTGCTCGGAGTGTACACAGGTCAAGTACACTGGAGACATTTCTTCAGTCTATCACAACATGATCCATCTTGTGTTTTGCAATCAGAGGACAGCCAAGTAGTCTCAAACAACTCAGCAACGCTCAGTAATTGTATTTATTAAGCTCTAATTCCAATTGGTGGTCATCTGCTCATAAAAGCTGCCAAGATCTAGCAAGACGACGGATTTGAGCGCTGTCTTTTGAACATATTTTCTCGCTCGTCTTAAGCATGGCTCGTTCACGCCAATTGCTCACTGTCTAAAGTAGTTAAGTTCGCAACAGAATTATACCCAGAGTTCTAGTGTAATAGATCTTTCTTTGCCTCTAAATTTATGGCCTTTCTATCTACTACGTCCTCTGAGCGCGGTTCTTCGTAGAAGGGTCCCTTACCACGGTAAGCCCAACGTTTCTTCTTGTGACAGCCTGGTATCAAGATTGCTTTATTCAAATACAGCCTAATATCCGCCCTGTTAGCCAACCGACCAATGGGCATGGTACGTGTTACACCCTAGATTAGAAAAATTGACAGTTCTTGGTTGTCATTCTTCAGAAGCCCTAACCTGCATGCTGATAGCGCTACGTATGAACGTTTGCTCTTGGTGTTGTGTTATTTGGTGTCTCGTGAAGAGTTTTACCATAGCGTTCATTGTTACTCTTCTTTTTTTATTTTCAGCAAACTTCAAAATGATCGGAAAACCTTGTCGAAACGGAAGAGTAAAGATAAGAAAGCAGCAGCGCTTGCGGCTGCAGCTGCAGTACTTGAAGGTAACGCCGGCGCCATCGTGAACCCCATGGATCCGCCCATCATCAAAGACCAATTGTTACTCTTTCCCACATTTCCGGTGGCACACATAGAGCTTGAAGCCAATGCTTCGAAATTCGCCATATTCGCCGTCATACGCTCCACCGTTTTGGAAGCGGAGACACGTTATGCACTCTTTCAAGACAGCAGCGGCGCACTGCGTCGCCTTCACAATTTAAGTTCCTCATGTTGTCTCATTTGCGCCGGAACTTGTATGGCTACAAATCTGCTGGATTGCTCCTGTCACACCATGTTGTCGGCAGCAGTTGGAGGCGCTAGTGGTGGCAGTGGCCTGTTGGGAGAAAAACGTTCGCGCCACGATTCAGCAAACAGCGATGCAGAGAGTGAGTCGGATGATGCGACTGAGAAAGAGATAACGGTCGTGCGTGTGCCGCTTATTGTGGGTGCTGGTTTGCGCAGCCTCTTCGAACTAATTGCCGATGCGCGTCACATACAACCGATGTTGTGTACTAAAGCACTGAAAGCATTGTTAGATGTCATACAAGGACAATTACCGGAATCGTTCAAATTGGAACCTGATGACTTGATTAATCCTCTCTACGATCTACTACTCGACCTAACCACAATGCCGGCGGCTATGGTTGCAGGTGCTACTACGGAAGCTAATTGGTCGGCAATGGCTTGTGCGGCGCTGATTGGGCTTTGCATTGCTCGTGGTGATACTGGCAAGATATTGAAGGCCATAGCTGCTATGCTGATGTCGCCCAAACAGTTATCCACGCAAATAATACAGCTACCCGCGGTGCTCGCTTCGCTGCAAAATACCGTGATGAGCGCGGCATTGAACAAACCTACAAGACCGGACTTTCACAGCAACGGTGTGCCCATTAACTCACTAATCGACGAGGTATGAAGAGATTTCGGAGATTTGTATATTTTCTTAAGCTTCCTAACTTTTTGCATTGCAGTTCAGTGTGAAGACATCAGCTGGTGCCTGTGGCAGCCTCTATACGCAACCCGCTATGGCTTCGGATGGCACATATTTGTATCTTTTGCTTGGCAGTTCGCTGCTTAAAATCGGTACCGGCTTCAGCGGCTCCTTCAAAGGCCACATTTATGCACAAAATGACGAGTTTACAAAGGAGAAGTCTGGCTGGTTGGGTTGTTTTGGTGGAAACCTTTATTATCGTCGTAATACTAAGCGTTCGGCCGACCATTTGCATCTAGTCAATACAGAGACGTTAACTATAAAGGGCATCAATTCTGTTAATCTTGTGCCGATACGTGAGGGTTTTAATTATGTTCTCTTCACAGATGAGGACTCAATAAATGCGATTTGTACCAATAGAGATGTAAGTGAACCTGATACATACATAAATCTACTTGATCGAGTACAGCTCCTAGCAAATGTTAAGAATCAGCTCAGTTTTGGAGTATAAAAATCTTAAATTTTTCTCAAAAAATTATATATTTGAGATGCCGTCGAGACCATCAGCGGGAAGTCCAAAGAGGAAACAGTTGATTCGAAGGGTTTGAACCAAGGATAGTTGGTATTAGCTGACTTGGGTTTAGTGAGCATGGAAAGAGATAGTTAGTGTCGTGAACTCATGGCATGTAGGACATTTTTTAAGTGTGTCGGGGCCAATTCTGGATAGGTAGGAGTTTAACCGTAATAGGTTCATCCAGACCTTAAATATACTAGTAACACTCGGGTCTGCCGTAGTAGTTCGAGCATTCGTCTGCTATGGATTGGATTCCTGGCATGAAATCCACGAAAAGAGAGTCAATGAAGTTGTTAACTGGCTGTGAATTATCTTTAGAATCTGTCGATATATTGCCCTATTGAGTGCAGAAATTTCCAGCCGGTCAAAGCGTTTCGTCGGGGTAGAGAATAATTTTACGGTGATCTAAAGCTTGATTGTACCAGAGAAGAGGTTGCAGGATTTTAAGTATTCTTCTTATCTCAATTCCGCATTGGTTAATTTGCGGTGCGGGTTAAAATCGCCCAAAATCAGCCAGTTAACGCCTATGGGTAACGTGGGCGAGAGATCTAGTGGGTAATTGAGCTGAAGGGAAGGCCGTAGAGGCTAGAGGCAGTAGAGGCGGATTAGCATTCACTGTAGATCCCCTCATTTGTTAAAAGAAACCCTCAAAACGCACATCACAAAGTTGAGTAGGAGTTCGGCTGAAAATCGCTTCGCGCCAATTATATATAATATATTATACATAAGTATCTATTGTACATATCAATCTGTTAAGTCCCCCTTTTTGCTTCACCAGGATACCCTTGTCGTTAAAAAGTTGAATTTCAATAACTCAAACACTTACGGCAACGACAACTCGCCACCCTACGAGCTACCACTCAAGTTGGCACGTAAAAAATTTCGCACCCTCGGCTATGCCGCCTTTGAAGATGAGGTGCTCAATCAAAATCAAATCCAAAAAATACAATCTTCATATAATATTTTCGAGCCAAAATTACCCAGCGAGGTGGAGATACAAGGCATTGTCTGTGGCAAGGAATTTGGGCTGGTGCGCGCCTCCAATGGCAAAGTGTACTACTATGGCAAGTCAGCTTCGTTAGGCTTGAAGTCCATAGGACGCACACCCACCATGAAAATGACCGAGTTGATTATATCTAAAGTTTCGAATATTGTGCACATCGCCGTGGGCCATGATGGCATACACGCGTTGTTGGTGAATGACGATGGCACTGTGTATTTCACTGGTGAGTGCACTTACTTACTTAATTTAATGTTAATGTTAATGTTTTGAAATAACTCCTGCTTTCTGGTAGGCACTGCACGTCGCGGCGAAGATGGTGACTCCTCGAAGAATCGACGTCAGCCTAAAGCTGTTAAGCCTAAAAAGATGTCGAAAATTGACGGTCATGTTGTCGTGCATGCAGCTTGCAATAACGGCACTTCCGCCTTTGTCACAAAAACTGGTAAATTGATCATGTTTGGCAAGGATACGGCACATTGTGACGCCAGCGGCTGTGTGAGCGATTTCATTGATCAGCACATTACGAAAGTGGCGTTGGGTAAAGCACATTGTGTGGCGTTGAATTCCAAAGGGCAACTTTTCACTTTTGGCTTGAATAATAAGGGACAATGCGGACGTGTATTTGGCAAAGCCAGCAAGGATAATTGCGTTTCTCTACAAGGCGGCGGCAATTGTCTGGGCACAACTACAGCTGCGGACTCGGATGGCAAGGGTTTGTTGAACGCTAAGAAGTTGAAATTTGACTTTTCGACATTGTGCGATTACGATGATCACCAGCTGGTGCAAGGGCAATGTCGCGTCTGTGTTATGTGTCGTGAATGCACCGGTTATAATGTGTCGTGTGTGTCGACTTTGAATGTGCCGGTGGAGGAACGTTTACCGGGCGCGTATGTGAAATTAAAATTGCTTATTTTTTTAAATTTAAATTGAAGTTTTCTTTCAGCATATGTCCTTGTGGCCATGGCGATGCCGGTTGCTCGAAATGTGGACTTTGCTCGACCTGCATTTCCCTGCAGGAGGCGGATAATGACGCAAACAAAGATAACAAGCAACTACAAAGCGAGCTGAATCGTCAACGTTCAAAGAGTTTGATAATGCGTCGCAAGGAAAAAAAATTGATTGCCGAGGAGAATCCAAGCACACAAGTGACCGATACGGACAAAGATCCGCCACGTGTAGCGCCTTTAGCGCCACAGATGCTCAACTTGTCCACCAGTTCGCCGGTGGTGCAAGTGTCTTGTGGTCTGCATCACACGGTAGTGCTCACCTTAGCCGGTGAGGTATTCACCTTCGGCAGTAATCAATATGGTCAACTGGGTACAGGTGATTTGCAACCCGTAAATGGCCCGGTTAAGGTGAATGTACAAGGCGCAATTAGTCAAGTGAGCGCCGGAAGTAATCACACTGTGCTGATGACCTACAAGGGTATGGTGTATACTTTTGGTAATTACCAAAAGGGACAGTTGGGACGCCTGCCTAATGATTTTCAACGTGATAAGACAAGCGGCGTTGGCGAGGATGTTAGTGCGGCAGCAAATAAAACATCAAGTGGTGAATATAGTGGAAGCACGGCCGGCGCTAGTAGTAGCAGGAAAGAAGAAGGCGGCATAGCTAGCTTATTAACACAGCGACAGAAATTTTTATGGCATTGTGCGCCAGGCGCCGTCTTGTTAGTTGAAGAGTCTAGAATTTTATGGTTCTAGAAATTATGAGTAGATTTTTGTTTTTAATTACAGTGGCTTGGGTCCCAGTTTTGGCAAGAAAGCTACCTGGATCGGTGCTAGTGGCGATCAGACATTTATTAAAATTGATGAGTCGCTTATCACCACACATATGCTGCCCAAAGTTAATGTAGTTGCGAATAAGAAAACTATTTGTGAGTAGAATATAATAGTTATCAAGTGTTTCAAAAATTTTAAAACCAATTACTTTCCATCCACTACTAGTACTCATTCCCACCATACCCCTAACATTCCACACACTTTCCATCAATCGTCGTGATGGCAGTTGCACTGCGCATTACCGTAATCAAATAAATTTCGTGCAAATCATACAGAATAGTAATGCTAAAGTTATGCCAGAATTGAATCAAAATATCGCTGCAAGCGCATGTCCTTCGGCGGTGGCTAGTAGTGCACCAGCTGCAGTGGCGCCCTTACAACTTCAACCAGCCGTTGCTGGCCCGATAAACGAGCAGATGTCGCGTAGTATGCACGAAGCGCGGAATCAAATATTCGATTTACACGATAATCAGTTGAGGGAACAGCAACAACGGCGACGTCAACGTGGACGCGAACAGGCAAAGAGTCCAGCTGGTGGTGCTGGCGGTAGTGGCGGCGTGGGGTCTGTAAGTGGCAATGTCGTTATGGATAAACCGCAACCACAAATTGCATTCGCACTGGATCCGCACTACAATGTTCTGTGGGTGTATGATGGTGGCGCGAGGAAGTTGCAGTGTTATAATGTGTTGGCCAGTGAGATCGCCAATTGTGGTGTTGTAAGTAAAACAAATATAAACAAATAATCCCTCTTTAATTCATCGGCTTTTCTTTTGTTTTGTTTAAAGAATTCATCAAATTTTCGCGCCATTTTATCGCCTGAACTGGCTTTGCCGAATAAAGCAGACGCTCGTATATCGCGCTCCCAGGCTTCACTAAATTTACTGGCATGTCTGGATATACTCACCTCGGCGCAGGATGCAATGTAAGCGGGTTTCAGTGGCAAAATAATCTGTTATTCGGGATAATATAATTTTTCTTATAGTAAAATTTTATTTTTAGCAAATCTTTGTTTAGCAATATTTTATGTCAAACCCTATTACTATCGTAGTTTGGCTTTTTTGTAATTTCTCAAAAATTCTTTATGTTTAACAATATTTTATGCTTAGCAATATTTTATGTTTAGAAAAAGATTTTGTTTAGCAAAAAATTTTTTTTTATAATTTTACGTTTTGCAATAATTTTTGTGAAGCAAAAGATATATTTTATTTAAAAAAAAATTGTGCTTGATAATTTTTTATGCGTAGCAAAATTTTATGTTCAGCAATATTTTATGTCAAACCATATTACCGGTTAATCTATATTTCATTTTTAAAAGATTTATGTTTGGTAATATTTTAATTGAAAGTTCTTGTGTATATACATATGTAATCCTCTGCTTATCCACTAGGAAGAAAAGTTATTAATTCTTCTAATGCGCGTCACTTTTCTACGTAAACTTTGATTTTCAAATAATTTCGTCCACAGCCCTGCCTGCTTTGAGGAATCAGCACCCAAGCAACCAAATCAAACCAAAGAGTCATTGAATAACGAATATCAGATTGTAAATCGTTTTGATAATTTCGGTGGCGGTTGGGGCTATTCTGGGCATAGCGTAGAGGCTATACGCTTCTCTGCGGATACTGATGTTATGATTTGTGAGTTGATTTTAATTTCTTTTTTGCCAATATCCTACATAAATCTCCCAAAACCCCTCACAAACAGGTGGCTTCGGCATGTTCGGCGGACGTGGCGAGTACACGTGTAAATTGAAGCTGTTCGATCTTGGTGCTGATGGTGGTGGTTATGAGAAGGAGGGTCTGCTGATTAGTGAAACAAAAGAGGTGCCATTCGAGTGTGCGGCACGCAGTAAACATCATATAATGCTACCAAAACCGATTAATGCTGCGGCAGGACGTTGGTATTTGATATGGGCACGTATTGCTGGACCCTCATCGGATTGCGGCTCCTGTGGGCAGGCCTCGGTGACAACTGAAGATCAAGTTGTTTTCACTTTTAAATCATCCAAAAAGGCCAATAACGGCACTGACGTGAATTCAGGTCAAATACCGTCAATACTCTATCGTCTTATAACGCAGGAATCCAAACAACCAGCAGCACCAGTTGACGTGGATCCGGTGCAGAAGATTACAAAATCTTTTGCAAATACTGTCAGCAAGGAATGTTTCGAGAGTTTAGTTGTGTTGCTGAATTGGTCATGGGAGACATTCAAGTCGAATTTGCGTGAACAGCGCGATAAGGGCCGCCAACTGCAGGTTAAACAATCTCTGGCCTATTTGATATACGTCAATAAGTCGTGTCTGCGTTTATTGCGTAAATATACAAATGAAATTTATCCACAACGCGCATCGGCTACATTTTCCAACACATTGGCGGCAACGAGCATTGCGAATGCTCTCACTAAATTGCAAACGCGCACAGGAAAGACAGCGGATGGCAAAGGTATGGGACAATGGAGTATGAAATGTTGTTAGTATACAGTTGAATTTTTTTTTTTATTTTACTTAAAGACAAAAATTCTAAAACCACTTTGAGTAACTCCGCCTCCACTGTGATTGCGAATAATGTTGCAAAGTATTTTGGGGAGGCATCCGCTTCAACGACGGCGTTTTCTGGTGTTGGCAATAGCTTGTCGTCAACTCGCAAACCAAATATGGAGAACATACAATTGGCCGAATGTATTGGTAATGTGCGTGCCCTTTTGATTGGTATATTTTGTGATGATATTTTCAAGGATATTTGCAGCGAAAGAGGTGAGTTTTGATATTTTTTTTTATATGCTATCAACATATAAATAGTCAGACAAATATCTCTGAATGGAAATGTAGTGTTGAGTATTAGAATGTCCCATTGATAGAGCTTCCTAGGGTCTATGTCATGTCGTTGTTGTTGTTGTTGTGGCTAGTTAACACTGTAGAGAAGCAGGCAAAATTAGTCGATGTCATCGAGGTTATTCAACGGGAAGCTAAAAACCGAACTGGTTCGACCTTTTCGGCACAGAGATGATGGGATTATAGATGAATCGGATTCGGACATGCATACAGAATATACACCCATTGGGTATGCCGTGTTAAAGTAGGGAAAGATGAGAAATAAGTCTACTACAGTATCTAGGCTGTAGTTGGGTCAGCTTAATTTGCCTCTCACGGAGCAGTGAGATAGGACTAGCGAGACATAGATGAAGAGATCTTCTGATGTAGCCAGAGCATCACTTCCACAGCGAAACGTCTATGCTATTTGGGAGTACTCCAGCATACAATTACTTACCGACTACACAGACACTACCATTTTCAAGAACCGCTGGATTGTGCGTCGGTCCTACGGTCTTTACACGCCATTCACCAAGAGTGTGTCAAGACTCTCCTGAACTCTCTTTCAGTGAACGGCGCTCACGGAATCCAATCACCATACGGGCACGACACTTACCACCTCTTTGCATGCCCATTAAAGCCTATACATCCAGTCGCCTTTTTTCTCTGGTCGATAGATAGAAACAACAACAACAACATGACCGCGCGTGCTTAGATTACTTAAAGAATAATGACCCAATTTGAGTGGAAAGTAATGTTGGTTAGTCCCAGAAAGCCCTTAGAAAGTGCGATTGGTGGAAATCTTAACATTGCCGTATGCGACTAGTAACTGAAACCGTCAAACGAGAGTTTAATAGCGGGGAAAAAATAATTTCGTTAATACCTTTTTTAATTTCTCTTTCATTTTAGGTTTTGCAATGGTCTTGGAAATTTTGGAAGAATGTCACATCAGTTTTGTAGCCTGTTTTGATGCATTCTATCCGACATCGTCGCTCAAATGGAATTGCCTATGTGATCTGCTTTCACAAATGGACAAGGTACAGACTCAACGCGAATTCCTATATTGTATAAGCTCTAATCCATTTTTCTACTCTCCTTCACTTTTTTTTTACAGCAAGGCACCTTACATTCTCGCTTACTGAGCGCCATACTCGCTGGTCTTTGTTCTCCTTCGGTGAAATTACGCACAACATTTTCACTATTGAATCCAGGCAACGAAAGACAATCAATAATTAGTCCCAGCGACAATTCGGGTTTACCAATGCTCTCATCCACCGAAGCACATCAATATCCCATACTCGTTGAGCAAATGATTTACCGTACACAGCAAGAGAAAAGTGATTTCCTCAGCAATTCTTGGACCTTTAAAGATGTACTTGTACGGCTATTAGATATTATAGCGAATCCGATACGAGCGCGTATTGAAAACATCTACAATCGTAGCGTGCAATTCAATTATGCCGGCACTTACGGCAGTAAGGATATCAATCAAGGCTTAATCGATAATTGCTGTCATCTCTTGGCTCGAGTGTTGGCCGAAATTGTATATCAGACTGCGTTGGGGGATGTGAGTTACATGGAAATAATCTTTTTATCTAGATGCATGTTTATTTATATATATTTCGTTTTATATTTTAGTATGACAAAATGTTCATGCCACCTCGTAGTCTTCACTCGACCGGCTCACGCTTTGCGCGCTGCGATCAGAGTCGCACCTGGAATACGGGAAATTTCGGACCTGATGCTATTGGCTTTACTGTAGATCGACCAGGTATTGCTATTGCTGGCGCTATGGTATTTTCTGGTTCCGGTTCGTATGATTATCAATTAGAATTGTTGTATGACAACACTGTAGACCTACAATCACAACATAAATGGGAGACACTCGAGTCTGTATCGGGTTCATACGAGCAGGATGTTGTGCATAATGACATGACCGAAATCAAATTTGAGCGGCCAGTGCATATAAAGGTATTTATCTCTTGAATGTAAAAATATTTCAAGCAATTTAGGCTCACCCACTTTCTCTCTCTCTCTCTCTCTCTCTCTCACGCACACACCTTCTCTATCTCACTCTCTTTCTCTGTTTCATAGGAAAATGCACGATATGCACTTCGTCTGTGCTCGCAGGGTGCCCGCACTTGTTCTGGCGATGCTGGCATGACATCCTTACGCGGTCCTTGTGGCACAACTTTCCAGTTTTATTCATGCGATTTGAGTTTCAATGGCACTACGCCACAGCGTGGTCAAATCCCTTGCATACTCTACTACAGTACGCCTGTGAAAAGCGAATCTTCGGTAGGTGGTGGTGGAAATGGCAGCAGTAGTGGTCAACCAGCTTCCAACGAAGTGACCACACGTGATACGGCTTTACAAATAGCCAGCGATATTACAAAGAAATGCACCGAATTATTGATTTTGGCACGCAATGCTTTAGCGGCTTCACTTTCACCCTCTGATAATTCTTCCAATCACACACAGACCATTGATTCGGAACATAATATCACACCCATTGAGGAGCACATGGATATAAATTGGGCAAATAATTCGCGTACCTCAGTGTTGCCTGTCGACGCGAATATATCCACGGCCCGCGACATCACAAAACGTATTGAATCGTTTTCGAAAGGTATTATTGAAACATTGAAATTTGATAAACGTTCGACAAATCCGTTCGAGATGGAAATTGAAATCGGCGCCACAGAAATACACCCCAAAGATTTGATGATTGAGGAGAGTACGGGTGTGCAGGATTTAAATTTTCGGAATGGTCAAATAGCTAAACTCAATGGCAATGAGCGCGTCGATGATGAAGATGAAGTGGCGGAGGAGTTCGTTAATGTGCAACATCAACATCACCAACAAAATAATCAGGTTGGTTTTGGTGGCATTGGTAGTGGCTTGCGTTCCGATTCGGAGGATGTGCCGGCTACGCAGCTTACTGTCGTGCAAATCATGGAAGTGTTCAATATGGCGTCATCGAATATGTTCCACACACTTCTACCGTTAGTTTATGCGCACGTAGCTAACTTGGCCTGTAGTGATCCAAAGGTTAGTTCATTTTCTTACATTTATTTTATGTATTTTATTTGTAATCTCTTCTCTCATGCTACAGAGTTCTGTGCAAATTCTCGGCATGATCAAAGATATTTTACCACATATTGCCGCACTCAATCAACTTTATGCGACTAAAGATCAAACTACTGCCACTGGTGCTGCAACTATCAGTCCTGCTGCTACCGTTGCAGCTCAGGGATTACGTAACGTCATGGCTGTGGATAATCGTGAATTTCGCTCGCGTAAAAAGAGTGAGAGTGAAGCACACATGTTGGGCGATCGTAATGGCAGCGAAAGCATTACCACTAGCAATCATTACTGTGTGGTGGAGAGTGAACATCCATATCGTAGCGCCACCATCAGTTGCCAGCGTGTCGAATTTCCACCTTGTGTGCAGTGGTTAACCATTGAATTTGATTCGCAATGCGGCACTGCGCAGTTAGAGGATTATCTATTGCTCTCCATACCATTGCGTCCCACAGTTACTGAAACGAGTCCAACCAATGAAGATTACTTCGATATGATGGATAATAATATGCGTCGCTCGCATGGCTGCACGGGTAACGCCTTGATTAGTAGCTGCTATAAGAGTGTGCATACGAAGGAAGAGCAGGATAGTGGTGTGGTTATGGACCGTGAGTGGATAGTGGTGAAGAAATTTAATACGTGAGTGATGGAACTCGTTTAATATGCACATTTATTTTCATTTAAATTTTTTTTTGTTTGATTTTTCAGTTCTTCTAATTGGATGCAGAATGTTATGATCCTTCCTGGTAATTGTGTAGAATTCTCCCTGGAAACATCTTCGCTCTATGCGCAAGATCCACACATTAATCGTTATGGTTTTAAATGTTTAGTTGTGGGTTATGACAATCCTTCAACGGTAAATTTGTTTATTTCATTATAACATACTTTTTTACTTACGAAACTACGAAAACTTAATTATTTTACAGTTAAGTGCAACAAATTCATGTTTGATACGACTTGAACAGGAGCTAGCCTATTTGGGTGGCATGTGTAGCGCTAATCTCATGAAGAAGGACCTCAATCTACCAGGTGAATGATTTGACAAAATTTTAACTTCAATGCATCTTAACCAGACCAGCGATCCACCAATATATCTCAAAAGCGCGCACGTCATTATAATTGTCTAGCGTTCGAGCATTTGACGTGAAGCCCATCTGTGCAAAACACGTTCAAAAGAATTTCTTTTCGTCTCTTCTCCGGTAATATCGGTTCAAGATGAAGCGATTACATGAACTTTGCAGTTACTTAGCGAGAGCTTCCTTCAACTCTCGGTATTTTTCCACACCATACGCATAACGGTCGTAAGCAACATTTTCTCTCCAATGCAGCTCGACATTACTGGGGTGTCTACTGTAAGTGCAGTTTAAGACGTCGAACATTAGGTCTTTGGTCTAGCTAGGCCATATATGCAATAGATCACTCAAAATTAACCATAAAAAATAAATTCCTTAGATAAAAGGGCGCCCCGACCTTTAGACAATTGTCCCCTCTGATTCTTGTCGCTCGAACGATCTAATGTGATATTGCTGCAGCAATAAGGTGCCTAGGTATTTGAATCTCTTTCTTGCAATCGCAACCCGTAATGCAGCCGCAATGCAATCTTTTAAGCCTCGTAGGGCAGTGATTGGTGAGTGTAGATTTTTTCGGTTGGCCATATGTCGTTCTTCAAGTGTCCAATTTACTGATCTTTAGCTGAATAACTTTTAAACTAGATACCAGAGAGTGCAGTTGTATTGCTCGCTCCTTTTCATACTTTGGGTTCGTTATATCCTAGTTTTAAAGCCCATACGTCTTTAATCTGGCTGTTTCTGGTATATAGAGGAAATTGCTTACTTGATTAATTTGATTACTTTTTTTTTTAATAATTTTTTGTAATTTAACAGATGACAAAGATTTGGACGATCTTGGCGGCGTTGAAGATACCATTAATGCACATCACGCTCTTTTGTCAAAAGGATTTGCACTATCTGAACCCGTTTTAACAGTCCATCAAGCGTTGGAGTCCTATCTGCCGATTGGGTAAGTGCGAAAAAATATGTGTTAATTAAGAAAAATAGATAAATAAAAATTAAAAAAATATATTAAAATAAATACATAAATTTAAACCATATTTCGAAAAAAAATTAAAAAAAAAAATAATAATGAAAAAAACTAAAAAATGAAAAAAAGGAATAAAAAATAAAAAATTTAAATTTAAAAAACTATAACAATAAATAATATTAAAATTTAAAAAAAAATATAAAAATTTTAAAAAAATTTAAAAATATATAAAAAAACAAAAATATATATAATAGAAATTTAAAGAAGATTTAAAAATATTATACAAAAATAATAAAAAAGAAAATAGAAAGAATTAAAAAATTTGAAAAAATGAATAAGAAAAAATTAGAAATATTATTTAAAAAAAAATTAAAAAAAGATTAAAAAACTAAAAAAAAAAGAACAATAAAAAAATATAAAAAGAAAATATTTATAAAAACAACTTAAAAAATAAAGAAAAAAGAAATAAAGGAAAAAAATAAAATTAAAAATAAAGGAAAAAAAAAATGAAATTAAAAAATATTAAAAACAAATTTAATAAAATGAAATAAATATTTAACTATAAAAAATAGGTAAAAAATAAAAAAAATTAATGAAATAAAAACATATATTAATGTTATTAAATTTACAAAAAATTGAGGAATAAAATAAAAAATAGAAAACCATAAATAATAATAATTATAATAAATAATAATGAACAACGAATATTAAAAAATAAAAAAATAGAAATTAAAACACATTTAAAAATAAAAAAATTAGAAACTTAAAAAATTGTAAACTAATAAAAATATTAAAAACTAAAATAATTAAAAAAAAAACAAATCATTATAGAAATATTAATTAAAAAGAAAGAGAAAATTAAAAAAAAAATAGATTAATTAAACCAAAGAACATAAATAATAAAAGAATAGAAAAACATATGAATTAAAAAACATAATAATAATTAAAAAAAAAGGAATTAAATGAAAAATAAATATAAATAAAAATACATTTAAAAATAAAATAAAAATTGAAAACTAAAAAAAAAAAAATAGAAAAAGAATAGATATGAAAAGAATAGATATAAAAAGTTAAAAAATAACGAAAATTAAAAAAAATAGTGAATATTAAAATAAAAATTGAAAACTAAAAAAAGAAAAAAAGAATAGATATAAAAAAAATAGATATAAAAAGTTAAAAAATAAAGAAAATTTTGAAAATTAAAAAAAAGTTAAGAAAAAAATTAAGAAAATGAAAAAATGATTGGAAATTGAATAAAAAATGAAAAAGTTTAATATGAAATAATAAAATTTACAAAACATTTAAAACTACAAAAAATATAATAAGAAAATAAGAAAAAATTAAATACAATAATAAAAAATAACAAAAAAAAAAAACGTAATTAAAATGACTTAGAAATTTAAAAGTTCTTTAAAAATATAAAAAAACCAATATTAAAAAAAGCTAAAAAAGTTTTGAAATTTGTATGTAAATATATAGAAGTTATAAGAAAAAAATAAACACAGTAATAATAAAAAAATATATAAATGCAATTAAAAAATTTAAAAATAAAAACTGAAAATAAACTAAGAACAAAAATAATAAAATAACGAAATAAATAAATAAGAATAATACTCGAAAACAAAAATAGTTAAATCAAAAAAATCAAATTAAAAAAAAAAAGTATTAAAAATATTAAATTAAATGAAAAAATTATGATAAAATAATCAAAGAAACACGAGACAGCTTTTGCCGAATTAAAACATAATCGACGAGAGAAAATTCCAGATCTAAATAATTTATCTTTAAATATTCGTATTTATTTTTTATATTGTACATACATATTTATAAGCGTTATATCCAATATCTTCAATAATTTACAGCTATAAAACTTGGTTGTAAAAATTTGGTAAAACAGCGTATTTGGATTCAATTTAAATTACTCGTACAACTAACTACCATTCTATCGCCCTTATTTACTACTACAATTATATGTAGTATATTTATATTAAATACAAACATCTATAATAACATATATGTATATACGTATAACTTGCTGCTTAATTATTAATAACATTAGATTTTATTTGGCGTGGCAAAGATTTTGCATAGCTTCTCTAAAAGTAACACTTCACCCTCAACGACGCAGCCTCCGCTTGGCGCTCAACGCACGGCTCACTCACAGATCAGTCTTTAGGAGTCCCGCATTTTCGATTTGATACACGATTTGCGTTTCCTTATATGTGCGTGGCTCGGGCATAACAACGTCCAATTTACGCTTCTTACGTCGTTTGGCCACCTGCAGCCACACAATGCCGCCAATCAGCAGCAATACGAGCAGTAGCAGGAGTACGCCTAAAAGTATGTATATCAAATAGGAGCGCGGCTGACAATTTGTTTCGATGTATTTGTTGAGTAACACGAAGTCGTTGTTGGGACTAGGAATGAGCGCACGCCCAGTAGCTGGCGTTGCCAACGGTGCTTTTGGTGCCTTTGCCAGCACATAGATATTATCAACATTATTGCGAAAGAATGTCTGTTTGGGTATGGGTGGTTTTTGTGCTGCATCTAGTTCGCTGCAACCATAAGTGTTCTCATAGCGCAGTTGTTTGATGTTCAAGGCGAAACGGTCGTTAAATTCTAACGGTCTAGTTTCGATTGGTAAGTGTATGGTGTTGTTGTTGAATTGCAGTTCGAGCAGCTCGCTGTGTGTGTAGTCGCGGTGTAGGTGGATGCCTGCAATAAAATTTGTTGAAATAATTTTATTTAAAATTTAATAGACTGGTAAACATATACAGGGTGTTTTTTTTTTTAGACATGTGGTTTTCAAGAAGAAACTTTATTATAGAGATGTTTTAAAAATGATTTCGACCTAATGCTGAGTGGCCCACATTTCCACCCCTTTTCAGCAATTGTGGGGCTGACGTCAGCAATAACGCGCCGAATATTCGTTTTCAATGCATCATTCGTCTTGGGTTTATCTGCGCAGGTAAAATACCACGACTTAAGATAATGTTCGCAACCAATGGTTTCCTTCAATAAATTGATTGTTTCGTTGGCTGTATGGCATGCAACGCCGTCTTGTTGGTTCCAAAGGTCAACCACATCAACATCCTACGATTTTGCTACGAAAAAGTCATTAACTATGGTTTCGTAGCATTCGCTGTTGCCTGAATTAGTATGGCCGACTTCATTTTTTAAGATATATGCACCAGAGATTCCCTCTGCCATAGAGCACATCAGACAATGACTTTCAAAAAGTGGATGCTATGGCGTCCCAATGACTTATTGATTATCAATCCCATTGAACCAAAAGTGAGCTCCCTCGCTGAACAAAATTTTCTTCAGAGAGTCAGCATCGGTGCCCATCTCGGTTGGGACTGATTCACAGAATATGCCTTTAATTATTGCACGAGTTGGATTTTGCAAGACCGCAGACTGAGATCCTTCCACAAATTCGCTGATAAAACGTGGCGGTATGGTTGCGCGAATCACCGACTCTGCTCCGCGTTTATGTCAATCGAATATTGGACGCAGCGAACCGAATCATTTTCTCGGTAATAATTTCGCCTGATTTTCGAATGCTGGTTTGGAATAAGTCTGTTTATTATGAAATGGCAAACCACAGCCACAGCCACAGCCACAGTAAAGCCACAACTGTCAAAAAGACCAAATCTCAAAAAAGTATTGCCCCATTTAAAACCACACGTCTAAAGAAACATCCTTAATATCCTTATATTTTACCTTGAAATGCTATTGGACTAGTCAGACCAAAATAGTTATCGCGTATAAGCACGCTCTCCCGCACATAAGCCTCAATCCATTCCGCATCAATAGCGGCGAAGTAATTCTCCGTTATGCTGAGTTTGCTGACGACTGAAATTCAATTTACATTTGCAATTAATTAGAGAACTTAAATTATTTTTCAAGAAATATTCATTTGAGAAGTAAAAAAAAAATTTACAAAAACTATTATTTTTAGGATGGAATAAAAGACAGTCATTCGACCACCAGGTTGGTTTAACGGTTTAACTCTGAGAGACGAGCTATTTTCGACCACAGCGACAGGGATATATAGAGAGTTGGTTCATTTGTTTTTAATAGCTGGTAAATATTGAAATTGTTGTGGACTTTTCCTCTTCTCGAGCGATTCTACGAGGGAGTCTACGGCAAACAGACTGGACAGTTTTTAAAAATACCCAGCCTGAGATGGTGTCGTTTTCTGTAATGGAGCTGCTTCACTTTCTCTTCGTAAATCATGCAGCAATATCTTTAATATAGTCAAGAAAATGGCTGACGCACTTGGAATGGAACTTACACAACGACAAATTTGGAGTCTACAAGAGAGCTCTGGCGGAGACCAGAATACATTTTTAGTGGGAATTTCGTAGTGATGTTGAGAGCATAACAGTGACGATTAGGCTAAGATCTATCTTCTCCGGATCGACCACTCCCATAGGGTTTCTTCAATTGTAGTATGGCTCCTGGACAACGCCAAACGACGAAACTTTAGAACTCATTTCTCTGTGCTATTCGCAGATAGTTTCACTCAAGCTTCGGCTCTACTATTTTTCTGCTTTTTTTTAACTGTGTAAATTCCGAATGATCACAAACCCAAAAAAATAATTTTCAAAAATTTTTAAAGCTTACTTTTTAATTCCGCCTAAATGTAGGCTTTGGTATCTCATATAATTCATTCACTAAAAAAAAGTACATATTTCTTACTTACTTTTAAATGAAAACGCATGTGAATGCACTTCCTGAAATTGATTATTGTGTATGCGTAATGCATTGAGCACCTCAAGTTCATAAAATGCTTTCGATGGCACATTTGTATTGAAAATACAGTTTCGTATTTCCAGTTGTTCGACAGCGAACTTCTTGAAAGCCTGAAAGTTGAAAATTAGTGATTAAAAATCTGGGAAAACTTTTAGAAATTCGCGAATCGGTGAATCCACACAAGTGAAACAAAAGGTCCTGCAAACAATTCTCTGGCGTAATCAAGTTTTGGGCCGGGAAACGGCCGAACAAAATTTAAATCAATGACCGGGCCTTGTCGAATGGCTTTTACACTGCAGTTGAAAAAACGAAATGACAAGTGACGCGCCGTCTGCGCAAAACTATCAAACATCAGAGCGGTGCCTGTTATCTCCAGAGGTGGGGTTCAGGGTCTTATAATATATTATTCGAGCTTTGTAACTGCTGAAGAGATTTTCTACGAAGCCTCCTGATATTTTTTGAAACTAATGGAGAATCTTTATCTGATGAGCTTTTATTTCATGCCAGAAATACATTCAGAGGGGTTGACATTCCCTGCCGAGGAGCGACCACAGTTATAAATTTCGACTTAATTTTTTTATTAAATTAATTTTCTACAATTTCTAGATATTAATCGGACCAGGACTTGAACTTCAGAATGACACTACGCAATGCTAACCACTCAGCTATCGTGACCGTCAGGTTTGGGTTTTCGATACCCGGGTAATACGCAGACATGGGTAGATACTGGGTAGATACTGGGTAGATACTGTAGTAGACACAACTCTTTCTCTCCAGCTATTTAAGTTCTACATTCAGTATGTTCCCGCACGACACTAACCACACTCACCTAACCCTAGAGAAGTGCTTTAAGCCTATCACCTAAAAAAAAGCCATAGTAAAAGCTATTGTGTTTATAAGATTAAGGTATAAGGTCTCTTTGGGTAGACATGCCTTACTGCGAATAAGCTCATGAAAGCCTAAACTACAGAGTTCACAAGAGCTTCATCTCCTAGTTGGCTTTAAGACCTGACGGCTAGACAAATCGGCACTAGGTGGAAGGCAATAAGTTTCATTTCTGATGTGGTGCTTTTGGCGAATTCTTTGAAAGTATTTCTCTCGAACTATTTTCCCCATAACTCTCAAAACGAATTTCAAGTCTAGACAGATATCTTACCTGTGGTTCTATACGCTTAACCAAAACATTATCCATTTTCAATAAAATGGCACGATCCTTGAGCGTCGTGAAACCAAATGGATGTATAACATCGATACGTCCACCGATAAATGAGATCTCTTCTATATTACCATTGATCGCATGTGAATCGATCAATTCGAAATTTACCTAAAAGCAAAAAAAAAAAAATTATACGAGTATTTAAAATATGAAAATATTGTTTGTCGCTCTTTTCACTTACTCTCTCAAACTCAATGATGAGCGGCGTATTGCTCGCATAGCGTGGAAATGCCAAGGCATATTTATTTAATATCAAATTTTCCACATTTTTAAAGGTGATTTTACGTAAACCTTGCGTATCTTCCAATGCATTAGCTTCGATGGTCAAGGATCTGCAATTGCTTATCTCTACTTGGAACACATAACCAATCAGGTGAGGCAGTTGTAGGCGCTGGTTAAACAGAGATGGAGAGAGTTGAAAATATGTATATGTAAATATATTGTAGATAGCAAAAGAAAACAAATATCGATGAATAATGAGTCATCGTTGTTCGGGTCATTAGCTACAAGGTAGCCGTGCATAGGGTGGTGCATAGGGTGGTGCGTAATCAGGTACTTTTTAAGCCTTTCATGGATATAAAATGGTAAAAATTTTAACTTTGGCTAGAAGTAAGTACAAGAGGGAGCACGAGAGACCCACCAAAATGTATAACGGTCGGATTAGAAGGAGAAACTTTATTATTTAGTCATGCCCGCCTGTTCGTCTGTTAAAATGCAAACTAATTCCTCAGTTTCAACCAAACTTGGTACGCAGATAAACTCGCATATTATTTGAATCATTTGTCAGTACCGCCCAGATCCGACCACTATAACATGGAGCCCCCATACAACCGATAAGTTCAGATGTGAGATTTTGAAAGATTTTTGTAGATGTTCTCCAAACTACGCTTTAAGATTAGGCGAGACTAGTCGTAAGTCATCGAGTTCATCCGACAGGAAACGAGCTGTTTCGTCGCATTCAGAACAGAAGGAAAGGGGAGTTAGATATGTAGATTCTGAGTGGTATGTAATGATATGGTTTGGGTCATGCGGGGTCTCACGGGAATAAGTCTACTAAAATATCCAGATCTTAATGGCGCCAGTATTAGCCGGGTCGGGTTTTGAGGCAAATCGATCTCTTCGTTTGCAATAGGTGATGTTTGGATGCCGTAAACATCGTTCACTGGAAGAGAGTTCAAGAAGTTGTTGACGGACTCTCTTTGAATGGTGTTTATAGCCTTTCTGTACGCGGTTTTGTCCAGCGGTTCTTATCTATGGTGCTGTGGAGAGTCTGTGTAGTCTAGTGCTCCCTTTCTGTTGTGCCTAGGTTGAAGTTCAGCCTCAGATAAATGTCTGTTAGGTCTGAGGTAGGTCCGATGGTAGTATTTTGTTGTGGCTCTGTACTTTTTCAGTCGTATGCGGAGTTAAGGAGTCTATACTGTCGTTGTATATATATATATATATAAATATATATATGTATTTTTATATGTATTTATATATGTATTTATATACATTTAACTAACTGATTTAGTTAAAGTTCATGAAACTCTCCGGCTTGCTGGCCACCCTATACCCAGCACGGCATAACTATGCACACATATGAGAGTATGCATAACATACCGTTAGGCCTATACGCAAACATACATATATACATAGGTGTATATGTTTACTTACCTGATTCACATACTGACAATCACAAGTGAATTTGGTGTCATGCGCTATACAAGTGACATTCGGTATGATGCCCGCCGGTGGTGGGATGGGTTGTAGTGGTGGTGATGGTGGTGGCGGCCAATGACTACCGCCATTGTTGTAGTAATCCGCATGGCTGTAGGAGGCGGACAATGTGAGTAATGTCGTCACTAATAACCAATATATGGCTGAGCTTAAATGTAGTGTACACGTATGCGTGTGTATGTGTGGACCTCGATAAGTCCGCCATAGCCAATTATTTTCATTTCTATAATTTGCTAAGATCTCCTGTTGTTGCTTATATTCTTTAGGTAAATTTATTTGTATTGTTTGCATATCCTCTGTTTTTGTTGTTGTTTTTATTGTTGTTATCAGCGATGCGGTGGCCATTGTAGGATTTTATGTTGTATGCAATTTTTCATAGTTTTTTCATTTACCTTTTTCACTTTAACACTTTGGAAAATTAAGAAATATATATATATATATATATTTATTAACAGCTTTTCACCTTCTCTAACGTTTCGCTCGAGCTCTTACCGACAACTGAACAAATTGATAAGATTGCTCTACTCGGCTGTGCTTTGTGTCACATTATTGTTACTTAATACATACATACATATTTACGCGCACATACGTATGTACATATCTATAAACATGTTGAATTGTTTTTGTTATTCGATATCTTTTTGCACTGATAGAACGACATAAGTACATAAATACATACATAAATACAAATGTACATAATATATGTGTGGACATATCTATGTGGGTAAAGGTATTTGTGTACCTTTGAGCTTATATCTAGTGCAACTGTATTGGTGTGTGTGTGGGGTTGGGGGGTAACTTTGATACTCCAGCACATTTCAATTCAAATGACACATACGCACATACATTTATATTTACATCAGTGATTGTAACACTATTTAAAGATATTTTGCCTTTAACGGTGTATTCTTTATCTTATCATATAATTTTTTTTTTTTTTTGATGGCAAAATGCTTATGAAATACCGGGAAATTATTTATGGTGTTTTTATTATATATGTTTATTGTTCATCGGGAAGAGATTTCGTTACATATATATTTGTAAAAATGTTAAAATTAATTCATATATGTTTGTACATATAACATTACATATTATATTATTATTAGTTCATTATCCATCGGATTTTAGGTCTTCTTGGCATAAAATTGCAGAGTGAAAGTAATGAAGAAAACTTCAAGAGCTTTACCCAAGTACTGCACCCACACATATATATATATATAAAGGTTGTTTTTTTTGTAGACCTGTTTTTTTTTCAAGAACAAATAAGTGTTTGCTATTTTGTTTTAAACAATTATTTCGGAAAATTGACTCGAATAGATTCCCTTTTCAACCACTTTTTGCAGCGACTGGAGCCCTAAGTTAAAAATAACACGCCGAAGGCACTGTTACAAAGTGTAAGTCTTCTCGGGCTTATCTTAAGAGACAAGTGATTTCACACAAACCCACAGAAAATAGTCTAGCGGTGTTAAATCGCATGATCTTGGCGGCTACGACACGAGATAATGCTCGTATCAAAAGTTTCCTTCAATAAATTGATTGTTCCGTTTGCTCTATGGCATGAAGCGCCATCTTGTTGGAACCCTTGGTTCATTCCCATCCTCCAATTCAGGTGCGAAGAAGTCATTATTCATGGCTTTATGGCCTTCCCCATTGACTATAACTTTATGGCAGGCTTCATTTTTTGTAGAAATACCTAACAATGAAATTTTAGGATTAAACGATCTTATGTTGGAACCCGCAGATCGGACCACCAAAACATATAGCCCCCTCCCTCCATACAATAAATTTGTTCAGATATGAGGTTTTGAGTCAAAAATCCTGCACGTAAATTCAAACAAATATTGATTTTTAAAATTATCGTAATCGAATTTAGTATTTTCAATAAATCTGAGAAGTTCCTGAAAGGTAAAAGGACTTCCACATGGTTGAAAATAACATTTTTTTCTTGTTTTTGTTTTTATTTGGACATAGAGTATTACAAAACATGTGCAACTAAAACTATTTCAGCACATGAAAATTAATTGGGTTGATTTATTTGTTTTTTTTAGAAAGTTATTTGTCACCTACTCGAACCGAAACATAAGTACATATATACAGACGTTGAACTCAATTGGGCAAAGAAGAAAATATATATTTTTTTAAAAAATAAAAAAAGGTAACCCAATGAGACAAGCTAAGTTATTTATATTTAATAAAGTATTTATTTTAACTATTATGACGTCAAACTTTCGTTGAGCTTTTTAAGCAGTTTTTGAAACTAAAAAAATCTAAAATTCTACTACTTTTTAAGACAATTTAATAAAAATGCTGATCATAGAATCCAACGCAAATCTAAGTAATTTTTCCAATCAAATAAATTGTATTTTTTTATTTTTATTTTTTTTTTTATTTATTTTTTTTTTAATTTTTTTTTTTTTTTTTTTTTTTTTTTAATTTTTTTTTTTTTTTTTTTTTTTTTTTAATTTTTTTTTTTATTTTTAATTTTTTTAAAAAAATTTTTTTTTTATTTTTAATTTTTTTTTAATTTTTTTATTTTTTTAACATTTAATTTTAGATATATATATATTTTTTTTGCATTTAACCCCCAAATTGCTTACTGGTCTGTTTATCACTGTCAACTGTCACCCTGACTTTGTATTCAACTATTTAAATACATTTTTTGTGTCTGCTTGCATATATACTATATTGCCTTCGCCACCACCCATCACTTCTAATAAATAAATAACTTCATTGCAAGCTCAAAGAATGCAACATAACAAGCTCATGATCATCACAATCAAAATCAGTAACACAAACTCTTCCGCTAATAGGCTTAATTGAATTCGAGGCCTCCACTCACTGGTGAAGTGTAAACGAGCTTTTGAAGCAGCTGCCATTGGCAAGCTGAGGGACCCTTTATGGCAATCTGTGTTATTTATTTTCGTTCTTCATACATTTATTTATTTACTTATTTATTTAAATATTTGTTTATTGTATCAATTAATATCATTTATACCGTGCCGACATACATACAAGTAACATGATTGGAAGTACATACATATGTATGCAGTACAATCCAGAATATTTGGATAGTTCAAACAGAATTATCGCTGAAGCAATATTGCCGAGAGGCGATCGCTGTTGGAAAAATTAAAGCTTTGTTTTTTTTTTTTAAATTATTTTCTACAATTTTAGATGTTCGAATCCATCACACCCATCACTGTAGACATTTAAGTTTCTACTGATTATTTTTAGAGGCCTACTGGATTGATAAACGGACGTAGGTTGGTCGAAACCGATTAGCTAAAGATAAATCCCATATTTCTATCATCTGCGGCATTCGCCGTCGTTCGTAGACCGAGCTTCAAAAATCCGCAAAACTTTTCTCTCAAAGACTCCCAAAGTCTATTCATGGGATGTTGTTAGATTCCACGCCAAAAAATGTCTTGTAGAGCTAGCTCTTTGTTCGTCAAGAGAGGACTTTACTTTTCAAATGCGATTTTGTGCTGAATTTTAAGGCTGCTATTATTGTTGGTACTATTACTGATTCCTAAATAGATGAAACTTTCTACATCAAAGTTATGACTGCCAACAGTGATGTGGGAGCCAAGGCGCTGAAACCCCGTAAGGCATCCGTCTCTGCACTCTAGTAAAATATGCATCTTTACATATTCCGGTATTCAGCTGTTATTGTTGTAGCGGCTATCCCACCCTGCTTAGCAGTTGGCGAGACTAGTCGTAGACTATCGAAGTCATCACGGTAAGTCCAGAAAGCGGGATGTTTCAACAGTCTCATTGGGTACGTTGAGTATGTCGAGGTGATGTCTGGATAAATGGAAATTAAGTCGACTACAATATTCAGATCCAATTGTGCCAGTATTATTAGGATCTCTCAAGGCAGCTTGAGCTCTTCGCCGTTAATAAGTTTACAACTCTTGTAATCTTCTCCAGCATCAAATTGATGATGACACACTACTCTACAGTGTTACCCTATTCCGGCTGCGCTTCTGATATTTCCCAGTGTCAGTATACATATCAGTATAGGCTTTGCTTGGAAACCAAACTCATACATAGAGGCTTGCAACCAACTCCTTTTCCTCTATTGAAGGCAGTTATGGAACCGTCGAAGAGTTGGTTTGTGTCGACCATTTTCTCATGTGTCTTTTTGTTGATATGACGCATAATGAATTTCTGGTCAGTGGTGAATTTACATGATCTAAAGCCACACTCATAAGCTTGTTGACGGTGGGCTTTAATCTTTTACACAATTCGCTAGATAATACCTTATTTGACCTAAATATCTCAGGCTTATCCCACCAGAATTGGCACAGATTGTGGGGTGCCCCTCTTTGTGGACATTAGGCTGTTTTTTTTATGCAGTGGATCCCAAACCTTTTGGTAAGGTTCCTAATACATCACGTATACATTTTTTAGGCATTTGCGAGGAGTTGTCATTTTGTATTGAATTGAAAGTTTCACTGGATCAAGATACGTTTGAGCTCTGCATTACGTGAACAACGTTTGTAACATGACAACGCTCGGCCCCACCTAGCTGTTATGGTCAGAACCTTCCTGGAAACGATGAAATGGGAGATCTTATCCCATTCGCTGTATCCTCCAAGCTGTGTACCTTCCGACTACTCGCTTTTTTGACGGATAAAAAATGATTGGAGTTGTTCCCGGTTTGGATCTTTCGAAGAAATCGGAGAATATCTGAATGACTGGATCGAGGATGATGATGATTTTTTTCGAGTTGGTACTCGGCCGCAATAGCCAGGGTTAGAGTGCAATTGATTTTTCGAATTGTGGTCGCCCCTCGGTTGGAATTGTCACGACCTCTCAGTGTATTTCTGACTTGAAAAAAAGCTCCTCATAAAAATCCATCGGCCGTCCGCAGGGCTTGAAACTATAGGTCCCTCAATGCAAAACTACAAATTGCAGGAGGAGGTCGGCCTAAAATCACTTTAGCGGTTACAAAGTGCCAAATATATACACATCCCATTGAGGTGGGGAAAAAGGAGTCGCTTCCGAGGTAAAATATTTTGACTGATGTATGTACATCATATATATGTGACAATAAAGTAATGAGACTGATTATATTGCCGCAAATGTGGTAACCCTGCGACCTTGAAATTCCCTTTCCCTTCTTCTGGCATCTTTCTCTTTTCCATGGATATATTTGCCATCGCTCTAGCGTATGTAGTTCGCCTGCTGTGTCGTGTTGAGTAAAAGTGTGTCCGTGGTGCTCGTCGAGAAAATGGAAAAACGATAATTACAGCCTTTTTGATAGCCGTGGAATCGTCCACAAAGAAGTCTTTTTATCTTCGCTAAAGCAAAATCGGTGATCAAAGGAACCCAGGCGGCCATGACCGGGGTGCTCGCGGACATCCCAGTGGAAGGGTTACAGAAATGTTACGAAGCATGGAAAACGCGCTGTAATCGTTGTATAGCTGCTAAAGGGTACTTATTTGAAAGGGCTGGCAGTGTTGTAGAATAATTTTGAAATATACGGCTTTTATTCTCATTACTTAATTGTCACACCTCGTTTGTATACATCTCTATATTTCTATAAAAAAAATTTTCAAAAAAAAAAAAAAAAAACTTTCCGAATGAATTTTCGAAACTTCCAGCATAGTTATATTATGGTTTTTGACATACAAATGTCATATGTCACATAAAGGTACTCTATAAGACTTAGAGCTCTCGACGGAATGTCCAAAATGTTCCCCATAAAGTCTCGCCCCTGCACCACGTGTGCTTTTAGCTTGCTGTCTCGCTTAGCTTAACATTTTCCGCCATTTTTTTCTGCTTTTTTTCGGAAGTTTAATTTTTTTTTAAGGAAGCTTTTATTTCTTTAAAGATGTCTTTTAATTGGTTTGCCTATAATTTGCAAAATTTTCTCACTAGGAAAATATGAATTAGCGAAAGTGTTAACTGCAAGCAATAAAATATATTGGAATAATAAAAATTTTGCAATTTTCGGCAATTTCTCTAACATTTTCAGATGTTTATGTACAATATAATTAGCATGCGAATTCTTTTTTATTGTTTATGACTTACAAACTTATAAACTTACAAACAAGCAAAACACACATACATATGTACAAATATGTAACTTAATTATCGCCATTTCAACGATTCAAACGCAGTCGAAGTACGTTTCAATTGCGCTCGCACATTGTATTACTGTTATGCAAATTCTTTTTTTATTTGCATTTTATTGCTAACCGCGAAATGTGTTTTAAATGAATTCAAAACATGACGGGGATAAATGAATAATTTAAATAGCTTTTGCCTTCTTTTTTCTTATTTGATTTTACACATATTTTTTTCGCATTTTTTCTAATTAAAAGCAACAACAATTACGCGAAAGAGTGGAAAAAATTTAAATAACTTAATTAAAACAATCAGCTGGTTATACATATAGTATATGCAGTGTGTATGTATGCATTTGTAAATAAATAATTTATACCTGTACATTGCATTTACATTACACTAGCGGTCATAAGTCTACGCCCCTTTCAAAATTGAATTTTTTCACTATTTCCAAAAAATATAGATGGTCTGAAACAGTTCCATAAAAAAGCCAAAAAGAAGTTTTTGTTTGTTGAAAACTTAAAAACCATTAGCAAAATAATTCTAATTTTGCATATTTCCTATTGGGTACAATGCCGAGAGGAAAAGAAAAATACACTGTAAAGGAAAATGTCAGAAGCACAGCATCCAAAGTAGCCTCAAACGTTCAGCAAAAATTTTAAAAAGTAATAAGTGTTTCCACCACTCGAAGAATTTTAAAGAAAGCAGAATACCATGGACGTGTCGCTCGAAAGAAACCATACATATCTTTAATAAATCGACAAAAAAGCCTAGCATCCGCAAAAATGTACGATAACGTGCCACCCGAAATTGGGAAGTAAATTTTATTTGCTGATCAAATCAAATTTTGAAATCAAGGGAGGGAACATTGTTTGGAGAAAAACAGGTACGGCGCTCAACCAAGAAAATCTCTTCCACACTGTCAAGCATGGTGGTGGAGGAGTAATGATGTGGGGATGTGCTGTTGGAAATTTAGAATTCATTGAAGCAATATTTAAACGTTTTAAAATATGGTAATTTACGACAGA